ACTCTGAGCCTCTCCGTTAAGAAGTTGTAAGAAAACGTGAAGTTGGACAATTTTGGTAGCTTGCAAATGCTGTCTGAGACAAACCCAGTGAGCTTATTGTACGAGAAATCCATCTGTTCCACGTTGGCTAACCCTGACAAGCTCGACGGTAAACTTCCAACGAACCCATTGCTACTCGCATCAAACACAGTCACATTGTTCAACGAACCGATCTCGTTCGGGAAACAACCGCCTAGGTTGTTTCCAATAAACACAATCTCGTTGAGGTTCTTCATCTGACCGATTGTTTTCGGGATACAACCGGTGAATTTGTTGTGCGCAAAGGTAACAACGGAAGCAGTCGATTTACCAATTGTCTCCGGGATGATCGACTCGAATCTATTGTTGTTCAAGAAAATGGCGTCGAGATCTTTATCGAAGATCTCTGGTGGCAATTTCCCTTCAAAGTCGTTGTATCTTATGTCCAAGAACTTCAAAGACGGCCAAGAGAGAGCAACCGTCGGAAACGGACCGACGAAACGGTTGTTGCTCACGTCGAATTCATACATTAACGTCAGTTTCGAAAAGCTTTTCGGGATAACTCCACAAAATCTGTTGGAATTCACGTGAAACAAGGCCACATCGGTCAATAAACCTAGCTCGGGAGGCAAATAACCGGCTATGTCCGCATGGTTGAGATCGATTCCGGCCACAACCATTATGCTCTGGTCATCAAGCGCGGGTGCACAGAAAACGCCTTTGTATGAACACACGTTCGGACCGAACCAGTTAGCTGTCGTGTTGAAAGGATCAGAGTACACTGCCTTTTTCCAAGCTTGAAGAGCAATGTAAGCCCTTTTAAGCCTGTTATTAGCAAAGTTGAGGTCTAAATCGACTTCATACTCCATGTCGTCGGGAAGATCACCGTTTTCTGATAACGCCAAAAGTTGGCGTCTCGTGAGGAATGAAGCTTCCTCATCGGTGAGAGCGGTTCCTGAATGTATAAGAACATGAATTATGAAGAAGAAAAGGAGGAGGAAGCAGCCATAAGGCTTCTCCATTGTTTTTCGGGTCATGGTGATGGAAAAACCTTGGAAATGGCTTAATGGCTTTGCTTAATAGATGATTGTTGTGGATACAGAGCCTATAATGAAAGAAAGGCAAACAGAAACCATTGGTTTTCTTTTTTCTATTTTTGGTGAAAAACGAGAATTATATAGACTAAACATTTTTAAGGACACGAAAATAGCAAATTCTTGTAGCGAATATAGAACTAAGGGTCGTTGACAACGTCTTTAGAAGTTTTGTTTGTTTTACCATAATTGAAATCTCGAAGATGGGATATTTTTACAGTCTGGAAAATTTACAAACTCTTTCTTTAGTGGTGTAAACATGTTTTTATTTGGCGTTGGCGTTTCGAGCTCTTGGAAACGCGAAAACAAATAATAAAATTGTTTCCTAAAGTTGCTGATATAGGCTCTTTCTTTTGTCAGCATTATGGAAACTGTTCCTTTCTAGACTTCTAGTTTCTAAAGTGTGAGTGATTAAGTAAGCTAACAAAACTAAACATCTTATACATACGAAATTTTTGGAAATTTTATTTTTGTTAGAAAAAGTCATTGTTAATAGTATACAACGCTAAAAGAAAGTTTCCAAGGATCAAATCAAGAAAAAAGTATTTGTATAGCGCTAAAAGAAATTTCCAAGGATCAAATCAAGAAAATGATTCCATTCAAATTTTTTTTTAATAGTTTTTCTTATAGTCCCTTTTAAGAATGACCAAAATATTGTTGTGACATAAGCATAAGAATTGTTCAATTTGTCAACACCTTATTATTTAGCTCTATTATATAATTGTCATGTGAAGGCAACATTCGTTCATCACAACCTCCCAATAGATAGAGAAAAAAGGAGAGCAAAACAAACAAATACTTAACCCCCATTCTTGTTAATTGATCAGCCTATACTACCATCCTATCCTCGCCACACCACAGCCACCACAACATGACCGGGCCCATTTCGTGCTGGTTCATGGAGCCAGTCACGGGGCTTGGTGTTGGTATAAACTGATACCAATATTGAAATCTCAAGGCCACAACGTAACTGCAGTCGACTTAGCAGCATCCGGGATCGATCTACGCCGGGCTGAGACTCTACAATCGGTCGCAGAGTATATTGGACCGTTGATGGACCTAATGGAGAGTCTAAGCGAGGATGAGAAGGTGATTCTCGTGGCACATAGTTTTGGTGGGCTTGCTATTTCCAAGGCCATGGAGATATTCCATGACAAGGTTCACATGGCTATTTTCGTCACTGCCCTAATGCCTGGCCCGACCTTCAATTTCACTTTGCTTTCTCAAGGGGTATGTTACTACTAATTACATACTTTTTCACTTTTCAGAGCAATAATTATGATCGTTTAGTTTCAAAAATAGTTAAATCCTCGTTTGACACTTTATTATTTTTTTCTCCCCAACAATTTCTAAACTTTTGCAAGTTGGTGAGGTGGCAAGCTCCACAACTGGACTTGAAGTTTGTATTTGGAAATGGGCCTAATAAATCTCCTACAATTTTTATCAGAGGCCCACTTTCTATTTCATTAACTATGTATGACCTTAGTCCTAACTATGTATGACCTTAGTCCTGAATTTTTCGGAAAGGTAACCCGTCCCGTCCCGTACCCGTCTCGAAATCCAAATTTTTCAAGAATATACTCACAATTTTTGTCATACAAAATAAAAATAAAAATTTCGTATCAACTGGACTTGAAGTTTTTTTCATTAACTATCGGAGGCCCATTTCACTTCAAGTATTAGGCCCATTTCACAAACTTCAAATAAAAATTGTAACGAAATCAGAGGAGTAAACAAACAAAAAATGAAAAAAATATATCACATAACTGTTTTTTTCTAAACTTATTTTGATTACTACTTATGGAGTCGCACCATTTATAATTTTAAGGACGTAGAATTGGCGGGATTATTGGTACGGCCACAACGATTATTCAGAGATAGACACAAGTCTTGTGCTCACACCCGAGAGATTCGGGTCGGTAAATCGAATCTTTGTTGTGTCCGAGAAAGACAAGTCATTGATTAAAGAGTTGATTAAAGAGTTTCAGCTCTGGATGATCAAGAATAATCCTCCTAACCAAGTGGAGTATATCCAGGATTCTGATCATATGGTCATGATTTCTAGGCCGTTAGATCTCGGTGCTCGTCTTTTGTCTTTGGCTAACAAATTCGCTTGAAAAATATTCGACATTTTGATTCAACATTTTATTTTCATCCTTATAGTTGGTCAATCAACTCTTACGTTGCCCCAGCCACTGTGTATATTTATAAATATTTTTGTATATAATGATCTTTTGTAATTAGTTTGACTTTTCAACAATACCAACTGCAACTAATTAAAATGTTTTCATAAAACTTATCAAACTAAGCTAACCACTATAATTAGCATAACATTATGGATCCTAAGAAGATCAAGATCTAATTAATAAATCCAAATTTATACTTAAAAAAATGCAATCGCCGCTTTATATCCGGAAAACTAAATGAAAACAATGCTTTGTTTTTGTGTAATATGTTAATTGAAAGCAAATTAAATTAACCAACCTAGATAGGCTAGACTAAATGACCTCGAACATGGTTACATGTTTAATCTGCGATCTGATTTCGTAACAAAAATATACTCACAATTCAAAGCCATTTTTAAGAGTTTGACGACTCATGTGTTTTAGAAAACCATTTAACTAAATTCTCACACCTCACGATTCGCAGCATCGTTTCTCCATAAATATTTTTGTTTCTTTCTGTGTAAAAACTTTAATTATATTTTTCTCAATCTATTCCTTGCAAAAGATGGAGATTTTTATATATATATTTTTGTTTGTCAATAATAGGTTAACAATACAGGAATGCTTGCTACATATCATATTGAAAGTGCAATTTCTTTAAAAAATTGTGATTAATTAGTAGCTTTAAATGATCTTATAAAAGAGAGCTTCAGCGATTAACACACAATTTCTTTTTGGTTACAAAACTCGACGATTTGATTTATCAGTAAACTCTTTTGCTTATGCACAAATCAACAACTTCCAAAACGCCACATGGCACGAGAGCTACTAACTTTAACGAGGCCAAAATCGAAAAGATAAAAACAAAAAAAAAAAACAAAAAAGCTCATCACATGAATCCAACAAGAGGAACTGGAACGTTGGCGTAACTATTTCGGCGACCACCGTGAACTGCTGGTAGCGCCGGCAGAGGCTTTCGGAAAGCTTCTTCTACTGATTCAGCCACGGTGGCGACGAAAACCACGGCAATCTTCATCAATTCGATGCAAATCTCCAGCTTTTGAGACACCATATTGTGTTTTATTTGGATGAGAAAAAAACTAAAAATGTCTCTGTGGGTTGTGTTTTGCGCTTTTGAGGTGTATGTGTTTCTTTCTTCTCTCTATGTTTTTCCGCGTCTCGAGATCTTTTGTCTTTGTGAAGTCTTACTTGCAAAAGACGAGTATTTATACACACTCGCGTCGAGCCATATATACAATTATTCCCTACAATTATTCGTATGGATTATGATAAATTTAATAATTGGTTGATTCATATGCCACGTGGCGCTTGTTTCGCTATCAAGTTTTTTTCTCGGAAGATGCTTCGTTGTACTTTGGTTTATACGAAGAGCCAATACTCTTTGGGGGCATTTCTTTACTTACATATGTGTATATACTTGTTAACGCATAGGTATGTTTGTATATATTTATCGTAGATACGAGCATGCAAAGAAAAGGTTGTACGTACAACTGAAATAGAAATATATATATATATATATATATATATATATATATATATCCAAATTAGGTGACAAAATTGAAAATATATAATAGCTAAAACCAGGAGTTTTAACATTTTATCATGGATAATTAGCTAAATTAGTCCCACACATCTAAAATTTGAAGGACTTTTCCAAATTTTTCGTGAAGTCTAGAAATGATTTGTTGTATAATATACTATTCAAATAAAGAGATCGTTTAATTGGTAACATGTTCATGTATATAATCCACGTGAATATATATATTAGTTATATATGATATGATTTAATATATGATTTATACGCGATATACATCATAAACATAAGTCATAACAGACGGGCTTGTAGTTGGAATATGGATTAGGAGGACAATTCTGGACCAATAGGACACGAGGACATCAAAGACAATTTGAAGTTTTTTCTATTGAATTTATTATAAATATTTTGTGTAACTTGCGTGAATATAGTACTTTTAAGTTTCATATGTTCCCCGTTGCAGTGTAAGGCTGACTAAGATTTTGATTAATATATACATATATACAAGTCACCTGATGTAAGTTGATACTTTATTATGACGAATCAAATGATTCGCAATATAAAGAATTCAAAAAGTGTTGATCATAAAGTGCATGAGATTATGATCATTAACTATTTTTTTATTCTCGAATGATTGTTAGTTATTTATTACACATAAAGTGGAATCTACGTGTCACCACATTCGTAATATTTGCAAATACAAACATGGCTTATTGCAAAATGATCTTCCTAATTCTTATTCAAATCTAATCCCAAAACAAACCAAATCAAGCTTACCCAAATCTAATCCCAAAAAAAAACAATCATAATATCCCAAATGAATTAAAATTAGTTTTATTTCACTCTATTATTCGAAATTTTCATAAATCGAGCTAGAACAATCCCTACCTTAACTTAAAAGGAAGAAGAAAGAAAGTGACCCGAATTAAGAGAGTAGAGGGGTTTAAAATTACAAATCAAAGATCGGGGTGATTATGTAATTCGACGTACTTCGTGGGATTGAATGGAAATCAACATAGTAGTCGATGGATGGGACGTAGCACCAAAACAAAAATGCATAAGCGATAAATTATTTAGTGAAGGTTGTTGCGACTTGCAACGAGCATCTAAACTATTATTTCTAAACTTTAAGCTCTAAGCCGTAATTAAACAAAGCACCAAAATTCGCTAACCATATGTTCTAAGAGCCCATGAGACATATGCCACGTGTCTTCGTGGTAGTTGTTGAAGTCCCTCTTACTTTATCTTTCAAGATCAAACTTTTAACCAAAGAAAAAAAAATTATGTTGTGTCTAGCTAGTGGTGAATTTTTTTTAGTATTAGTACCTAAGATTTATTTTTTCTTAATAAATAGTAGAGAATATCATTTCCAGATTCTAGCACTTAGAACATGACTAAATCAAGAAAAGTGGAAAATCACTCAAAAGTTCTATTTTTTGTTGTTGTTGTTTAGTGGTTGCTTTAGTGGATATGATCGTCAAATTAAATTCGTGTATAACAACACTCACTAACTCTGTTTAATTTGTTAAAAATAAATTCTCACTTTTGTTGTAACAATATATCCAAATAATAAATGGAATTTGTTAAATTTCACTAACTCTGTTTCATTTGTTATAAAGTTAGAACAAAGTGAGAATTTGTTATAACAAATTAAACAGAGTTAGTAAGTGTTGTATACACGAATAATTTGACGATCATATCTACTAAAGCAACTACTCAAAAACAACAACAAAAAATAGAACTTGTAACAATCAGATGAATAGAAATTTGGTGTATGTTAATTAAATGTTTTATTGAAAGACCCGCACAAGCGAGACAGAACCTTGACCTAATAATGTTTGTTTAGCAATTTGCAAATGATAATAATAAAAAAACTTGGATATGAGATAATGCGGAATACTTGTTAAATTGCATGCAACATGGAACTGGATTTCATATTCCAATAACTCTAAAGTCTAATATGTACAATAAATAATAAGGATTACGGAAACGGAAGAAAATCTTGTGATGCATTATGCATATTGACGACCTTTAACGACCACATCTTCCTTTTTGATTATTCTTTTTTTCCTCAATCTTATCCACTTATTAAACGAGCTCTTAAAAAATTTAAACTAATGACAATCATAAAATAAATCTGATGACGATCATCTATATGTATGTTTCTGTTCCACTTCAAACCAATTTGACCATAGTCTATACATTTCTATGAATAGTTGAATAAAAGTGTGTATATACCAGAAATCTCAAATGCAAACATGCAATCTAAAAACAAAAAAGTATACGTACTTACGTAGTGATCAAAATTGAGGACCACTAGCTTAGACCTCATTTAAAAAAAAAAAAAAAAAAAAACAGGACCACGTCCATACTCCATAGCTAGACTTTTTTTCCTCTGAAATATAATCATATAATTATTATCGGCATTAGACAGAAAATATTATTTGCAAAGCCTTAATTCGTAGGTAAAACACTGGATCGAAAATCTAGCAAACATGTAAGTCTTGAATACAAACATTAAAGAAAGTAAATTTTGCAAATGTCTATCTTGATCGGAGATCCCAAATCAATCATACTCATCCATACATGACCTCCAATTAATTGATAAGTATATTGGTATGGCCGTATATATACGGTAATTGTATACTAGTTTAGTTTTTCTTACATACACCAAAAGAGAGACAAAAATTTGTGTGGACAAATGGATGAGGTTGGATAGAAGTAAACTCATTTTGTCGACACAAATTATAGAAGTTGCATGATAGAAACAATATATAGTAATCCTTCCAAGAAAACTCCCTCCATATTCTCATAACATTTGTCCACCATTGAGATCATGTGATCGACTAATAGCTAGTCCTCCTAATTAACTCTTTTTCTCTTCTTGTTTTTTTATGCCAGTGAATCCAACATTTGTCTTTCTCACCTAATAGTCAGATTTCGAACATTACACTGTCGAGAGTCATGTAATCGACTATAGCCAGTCATCTTTGTATTTTCACTAAAGTGTTTTAAAAAATTACTTTTAATAAGTAATCACTAAAACTAAAATTATTTACAAAAAATTAGAATTAGAATGTAATCATCCCATAGCAAAAAAGAAGTTGTTTGGGACACAATTTTCCTTATGTGTGTGTGTGTGCGTGGTGGTGGGAATCTTCTGTATCCATCTGATCCTCATTTTCCAAGATTGTAGACTCTTTTTCATATATACTCCGAAGTCTTTGCTTCCTTTAAGACAACTGCAAAGGAATAATTTTCTTATGTCTCACAATCAGTAGCTCACAAGGCATCTAAGAAATATTCCAAGAGTTTATCTGACCTAAGGACTTAATTAAGACGCGGTTCCCTCTCTTCAGAATCAAAAAGCTTTTTCAACTGGCTCTTCTTCCTCTTCCTCCTCTTCTTCTTCTTCCTCGTCATAATCTTCATCATCAAACAAAGAAGCTTTGGAATATAAACTACCCAAAGGAGCTGCAGCCGAAAGATACTCTCTTTTTGGCAGTAGATGATCTTCCTCTGTAACTTGAGGCCCATCATACTCTTCATCGATATCCTCATAATCAACAGCATCCTCAGCTCTTCCATCATAATCTACCTGATGTACCATCACAGTCAGTGAAGTTGATGACTAGGGTTAATTTGGTAATGTAAAAGGCAGGGCTTGTTGCAGATTTCAAAGATCTTAAAACATAAGTTGTTAAAAAATGTTCCACTATATACAAAGACTAGAAAGAATTAAAAGGTACTTACAGTTATATCTGGCAGAGATGAAACCAATGCAGAAAGATGTTCTTTAGCGTCCTGTACAAGTGAATGTTATCATTAACACACGTATACTTAGAAAAGAGAATTATAACTCAACAGTAGAATCATCAATAAAGCTCATATATCTGTTTTGAAGTAGCTATCTCTAGAAAGAAGAGATCGAAAAAGAGTAAAAGCGAATATACCTCATCAAGGTAATCAGCATCCAAGTCTCCACAGTTATCAACGTTTCCAAACATAAATCCCAGTCCGCTGCTCCTCTCCTCATACCCTAAACATGTCCAAGATCACTCAAAGTGAGGAACAAAGAATCCAAAAAAAAAAAACAGCTACGAGAAAAGAAAACCTATCTATAGAGGGACGTCTCTAGTTTCAACTATTTTAGTAACCTAAAGTTCTACGTATCGACAATTGAGTGTGCTGAAAGAAAAGCAAACACTTTGATATATAAGAGATTGCAAATATGTATACTTTACCTGAGGAAATCTCGTTGTGTTCAGCCATATTAGAACTTGTAATCCAAGAAACAAACACTGATCTCGTTGATCAACCTTGAAACCCTAACTGAAGAGTATAGAACTTCGCCGAAGGTAGCAACCGCTCAAATCGGAGGCAAAAGAAGAAATAGTGAAGGGATTATATATATATATATATATATCATAGGAGCCAGGAGGCCGGTATTAATAAAACGGTTATCATAACCCGATCCGGTTAAAGTTTGTAGTTTACGTGTCCAATTCTCAAAATTAACCGATTCTAACCAAACCAAACCCTATCAAAAATTAGACCAATTTAGTAAGCTTTTCACTATCTCGATCTTTGGTATAAGCCGTTGGGGAACTATAGTTTTCTATTGACAACGCAATATTTGAATTAAATGGGCCGTATTTGCGTCTCTCCCTTTTTCACTTTTTGAAAAAAAGGAAAGAAGAAAATTCGTCGCTTGGTTCCGAAATTACCCTTCTTAAGCTTACTTTATTACGTAAAAAGCCCTTACCCAAATTCAAAATTTGAATACCGCCTCCAGAGGATGGAATCTCAGCCGTCCGTTTCATCGTCTACTTCTTTCACATCCCATTTCTTCTCCTTCCTGCTTTACTGCTGAAAATCATGCGAGTTTAGAGAGAAAGAGAGACTGTGAGTGAGTGTGTGTGTGTGTGTGTGAGAGAGAGAGATATATATTATATCAGAACTCCTCTGTAGCTCGAGAAATTTTGGATTTTGCTGCTCAATTCATTACACAGGCAAGAAAAAAATTCTCATTTTTAGAGCTTTAGTTGTGATTCCAAGTTTCTAAATTTATCATTTCTGGGTTTGAATTTCGTGAATTCCGATTAGTTTTCTTATCTTCTTTTATGTCAAATCAGGTATATAATGTCGAGGGATGTCAAGTTTTCCCGTAGAGATTCCGGCAAGCACGAGGAAATCGAGAATAACATCCCTGAGAATCTCCAAGCTTCGTTTTTGTCTCAAACCAGCAACGATTCCATTTCTCTGTCACGGGCTCCGCTAAACACGATCCAGGATCCGTTGAACAACACCAAACACGAGAAGGAATCGAGGAGTAAGATCGAAGGAACTCCGTCTAAGCTTAGAGCTAAGAACCCAGATCCAGCATTACCTCTACGGACGCCTGATAACAAGCATAGATCAGCGGCGTTCTCTAAAAACCGGTTTGGCTGGGGCGAGAAGTGTGATTCCATCGCAAACACGACTCCTAAAACCGGTAGAGTCGCCGGGAGAGCTAATTCGGAGACCAATTCTTCGACGCAGAACACGCCTACGAAGAGCGTTTCTAAGCCGCCGGGATCTTGTTACAGAGGGAAGCTCGATGGAGCAGGAGCTGTTAGAGCTGGTGGCTATGCTTCGTTGTACAAAGGGTTCTCTAGCTCTTCTGGGCAAGTTTCAGCTGTTGTCAATACCGTCGAAGTCCCTCACTTTGACCTTAAGGAAGATCCATCTTTTTGGATGGATCACAACGTACAGGTAGTAACTTTGTTCCTATGGTTTACTCTTCTCAGTGTTTACTGTCCTGTATACATCTAAGTTCATTAGCTGCACCAAAGTTGCCTCTTGTAACAAGAATGTCTTAGATTGTTTTCGATTTTGAACTTCTAAAATTATAGCATTGGATCATTGATGGGATTTCATTGATGGTCATTGAATGTATTGCAGATTCTTATACGTGTCCGACCGCTTAATAGCATGGAGAAGAGTATAAATGGGTACAATAGGTGCTTAAAGCAGGAAAGCTCGCAATGCTTAGCATGGAATGGACCACCAGAAACACGATTTTTATTCGATCATGTGGCTTGTGAGACAATTGACCAGGTTAGAATCAGTTTCGAAAGCAGAAAACTTTGGTTTCCATTTCTTTGTTGAAATCAAGTTTTTCACATCCTAAATTTTTAGGATACCCTTTTTCGGGTTGCCGGTCTGCCCATGGTGGAAAACTGCTTGTCTGGCTACAACAGCTGTATATTTGCGTATGGCCAGGTATATTTTCTTCTAGTGATGAATTATGAGGTATCATTTGAAAATCCTTACAAGGTTACAATGAGATGAGATAGATAAGTTTCCAGAATAGGACCGAGTGGAGAGAGTTTCCTTCTTTGGATTACTTACTTATTTATCCGTCATTTCCTAACTTGTAATAATTTTGTTGGATTGTGCAGACAGGAAGTGGAAAAACGTATACAATGCTTGGGGAAGTCGGTGATTTAGAAGTTAAACCAAGTCCTAACAGAGGAATGATGCCACGGATATTTGAGTTTTTATTTGCAAGAATACAAGCTGTACTTCTCTTATGACATTGCTTTTCTTTTCACTTCTATTACAGACATCATTAACTTTGCTAATCGCATCTTTCCTCATTGTTCTTGTTGCAGGAGGAAGAGAGCAGAAGAGACGAGAGACTTAAATACAGTTGCAAATGCTCTTTCCTTGAGATTTACAATGAGCAAATCACAGACCTCCTTGAACCGTCTTCAACAAATTTGCAGGTAATTCTAAATTCTTTTGCTGGTCAAAGTGCATATATGTGCAAGGCTCATTTTTCTAATGTGTTTCTCACCCTTTTAGCTTCGAGAGGACATTAAGAACGGTGTCTATGTGGAAAATCTCACTGAGTTTGAAGTAGAGAGTGTTCAAGACATCTTAGGGCTTATCACACAGGTTAGTACTGCCGTCTTCCAAACATTTTTTTGTTTTATGTTTATTGTTCCTAAAATGTTATCTGTGGTACAATAGGGTTCTTTGAATCGAAAAGTTGGAGCCACTAATATGAACAGAGAGAGCAGCCGATCACATAGTGTATTTACATGCGTGATCGAGAGCAGGTGGGAAAAAGACTCAACAACTAATATGCGTTTTGCAAGACTGAACCTGGTTGATCTTGCTGGATCAGAGAGGTAACTATGGTGCATTAGCTTGGTATTGCCTTAGAAACCTTGTCTTACATTCTACATTCTGTAACAGGCAGAAAACTTCTGGCGCTGAAGGTGACCGCCTGAAAGAAGCTGCTAATATCAATAAATCATTGTCCACACTAGGGTAACCAAAGAATAGTTAAATCAATGGTATAAATCATTTTCTCAATTAGTTGTTATGTTAAATCTTGCTATTTGTTATTATTGATTGTAGACATGTCATTATGGTTCTTGTGGATGTTGCAAATGGTAAACCAAGGCATATTCCATATCGTGATTCCAGGCTGACATTTCTTCTTCAGGTTAAATTTCATTGCCTTTCTTCGCTTAAGTTGCAATCTATTCTTTCATGGGCATTATAACGGTAGTCATTTCATTTACAGGACTCTTTGGGTGGCAATTCCAAAACAATGATCATTGCTAATGCTAGTCCTTCCGTCAGGTATTCGTTCAACAATAACTTGATCTAGTGTTACATAAACTTGTACAGACAGTAAAGAACTTCAACTTATCGCTTCTATGGATTATCACTGGCAGTTGTGCAGCAGAGACGCTAAACACTCTTAAATTTGCTCAGAGAGCAAAGCTAATCCAGAATAATGTAAGTTTGCATTGTTACCTATATTGTATTTTTTGAGGGAGATTTATCATGAATTACCTTTGAAACAAAAGAGTTATGTTTCAAATTCTTTAGGCTGTGGTCAACGAAGATTTCAACGGAGATGTCCTCGAATTACGCCGTCAAATCCGACTTTTAAAGGTATAACATTTGAACCGCCAGTAGGTGCTCTTACTGTGAAGTTGTAAATAAGCTAATCTAAGACAAGTGTGTGTGTGGGGAACAGGAAGAGCTTTCCCTCCTCAAGCGCCAGAACATCTCCAGGGCATTGTCATTTGGATCAGCAACAGCCAACTTTTCAGAACTCCAAGTCAATTCTCCATCAAGTGAAATGCACGAGACAGGACATCAGCTGGCTGGTAATTCGCTTGTGTATGAATCTGGAGGCTGTGTAAGGATGTCTAGAAAGCAGGTATATGAACTTTAAGAATAGTTAATGATTACTCGTCCTTACTGAAGATTCATATGCCTCTGCATTGTGATTCCACAAAAAAACACTTATTTATATCTATCAGTTGAAATCTTTGGAGACAACACTTGCTGGCTCATTGAGAAGAGAACATGTGGCTGATGCTTCAATTAAGAAGCTTGAAGCTGAGATTGAGCATCTAAACCGCTTGGTAATTCTTTTCCACCTACTGCTCCCATTCCCACTTATGTTTCAGAGCCTGAATCAATTTATGGCAATTTATCTCTAGGTTCGACAAAGAGAGGAAGATACTAGGAGCACAAAAATGATGCTCAAATTTCGAGAAGACAAGATACAGAGGCTAGAATCACTTCTCGGCAACCATATATCTGCAGATGCTTTTTTGCTCGAAGAGAATAACGTGTTATCAGAAGAGATTCAGCTGCTTCAAGCTAAAATTGATAAAAATCCTGAATTGACTCGCTTTGCCCTTGAAAACATAAGGCTTCTTGACCAACTTAGAAGGTGATACATCTTAAGGAAACGTCTAAAGTGAAATAAGAGAACGTGTGTGTGCTCTTTTTCTAAGTTCTGGTTTTCTGGTACTTGCAGATTTCAAGAGTTCTATGAGGAAGGTGAGAGAGAAATTCTGCTGGGCGAAGTCTCTAATCTGCGAAACCAGGTGCCTCTAGTTAGCACAGTATCCTGGTATTGATTCATTCATCTTTTCGTTTGCAATGCCATACTTAACCTTAGCTATTGATTTTACAGCTCTTCCAATTTATTGATGAAAACTCCAACCAGCAAAAACATCCTGATGATGGAATAGAGCCACAGGTAACATCTATTTTCCTTTTACATATGTTTAAATATCTCTTAATATCCAGAAGTATTGTGCCTCATTGGTTGCGTGTCATTAGTCTTGTTGTATTTTCTATTTTGTGCTAAAAGGATTTGGGTTTTCCATGGCGCAGGGTGCATTACGTATTAGCAAGGAAAATAATTCCCTACAGGAGGAGGTTGAAACACTTTCTTGCTCAGAAGTCATTCTCCTGCTTTCTTTCTTATCTATCTTTTCAATCTCAGTTTCTTGATGTCTTTCCATCGCAGTTAAAACAGACCTGTAACGAGCTTGAGAAATGCAGAAGTAACCTTGGTTCTTGCCTGGAAGAGAATGCAAAGCTTAGTAGGTTAGCAAATCTGATTGATGATTCTTGTTTGTTTCCTTGTATATGGCCAAAGGAGTTCTTAATTTCTCCATAGCCGTGATAAATCTTCCCGCCCATTTTCTGCAGAGATATCCATGATCTGCAGGCTATGGTCAGTGATATCAGAGCTTCCACACCGGATGATCATAGCATTGCGAACAATAACAAGGTCTGCACAATAAGAACAGTGTGGTTCACTATTCCGCACATAATCTGATACTGTGTCTGCACGTTACCCTTGAGCGTTTTCACTTAACAGTTGAATATTGACAAAACTGCAGGCCTTGTTGGGAGCTCAAAATGCTGAGTGGCACGAAACACTAGCTGGTCAGCAAGTCAATCATGTAGAAGAAATCATCAAACTGCAGCTTGATTTGGATGTATTGAAAATTATACTAGATGAGGAAAGGACACTACGTGGTGACACAGAGGCACAGGCGGTTCGCTTGAAACTTGATATTGGAGAGTTGCAAGACCAACTACTTACGTTGAGCGAGCAGCACGAAAATGTAAACAGTGAGCTGGGGGAGACAAAGTCTGTAGTTGAAGCTCTCGAATCGCAAAACATAATATTGATCCAAGAAGCACTAGAGTTGAGGAGAATAAAGGAGAACTATATTGAGCTTTTACAAAAGCAAGAGCTTGACATCCCAGCAATGAAGTCCAAACAGAGCAATGAGTTCAAAGATATTCCCGCAGAGGACAATGCAATTGACACGAAGTTTAAGAAGATGCAGTCATCTCTTGAAAAAGCTAAGAGGTTGAACATGTTGTTAAAGAGTGATATTGCTTCTAAGGCATGTGGAGATGAAGAAATGGGTGAAGTTCATAGGCAAGCTGAAGCTGCAACTGCCGAGGTGATTGTCTGTTTGCAGAATGAGCTCGAAGTTCTTCAGAAGGAGGTCAGTGATTTCCAATCAAAAGAAAAGGTGACTGAAAAGCAGGTACAGGTTTTGGAAACTCGGATGGATGAGCTGCAGGATAACCTACGAGATATGACCATGGATAATGAGCAGTTGCAAGAAAATCTCAGAGGCAAAGAAATGGAACTACAGATCATATCAAATGAAATGGAACTTCTCACAGCTGAGCTTGAAGAAATTCTGCTGAATGGGAATGAAGGTCTTACAGATGCGTGTTACCAGGCTGATCTAATTTCGGGTTCCTTTCCAGATAAAAGGATATGGATATCTGAACAGATTGGAGGATTAAAAAGAACAATTTCTGAGAGGGAATTAATGATTGAAGATCTTGAAAATTGTTTAGAGGATGCGAATAAAAAGCGATGTGATATAGAATCCATGTTGAAGTCTCTTAGAGGGGCAGCATTAGTAATGAGTGAAGCGCACCAGAGAGAGTACGAGGAAAAGGAGACACATGTTCAGCTCTTGAAATCACAGTTGTGCACAAAAACAGAGGCCATATCAAGGCTTCAAGAGAAGCTGAAGATGGCTGAAAGTTGGATTTATGAGGCATCACATTGTGCAACAGCCTCTTTAGTAATTGTCAACCGAAATTCTGAGGTAATCGAATCCTATACTTTTGAGTTGAAGGAAAAGGATCTCCAGATTGAGGAATCTGCTGGAACAATCCTTTCTCTGAAGCAACAAGTACAAGATCTGGAAGCAACCTGTGAGGAATTTAGAAGAAAACTTCTAGAAGAAGAAAAGAATGCTTCTGCTATGGAACGAAGGCTTGAAGAAATTGAGGAGACTGGCATTTCGTCCATGAAAGAGAAGCTTTCTGAGCTTAAGGGTGGCGTATCTGGACTCAGATCTTGCGTAAACATGTGTCAAGAGCATGATAAATACACTGAGGCAGAGAACTCACTACGTTCTCCAGCCCACTGTAGTGAAGGACAAGTGAGCTGCTTGCCCTTTTCTTATTTTAACGATCATGCCTTACTATGTATAGTAGTGTGCTTAGTCCTTTACTGAAATTTTTTTCATACAGGGACTTGGAAAGAATGTAGTTGTTTCCTCTTGCATAGTGAAGATTCCAAACAACAATCATACGGAGCCCATCAGTTTTAACAGCAAGGTGTCTAGTGAGAGAGGTGAAGTGATTATACTGCTAAGGCAAGAAATGGAATCTGCTCTTGTAAGCTTAAAGAAGGTTCAATTTGAGATGGCCAAACTCCAGGATGAGAAGGAAGAGCTAAAGGCGTCTGAGAAAAGAAGCTTAAGCAATTTAAACGACCTTTCTGCACAGTTTTGCAACCTTGAAAATCTGATGAATAACATAGAAAAACAATATGAGCACAAGTTGGAAGTCACAGATCATAAACTTAAGGCAAGTAACTTTTTATCCTTGCGCTTTTAAGTTTTCTTCTCCTCATTCTGAGACATATAGGACTGTGCATTTATACTTCGCCTATTTACATTCTCTCAGATGTTATGAATTTTCTCTCTTTTTTCCTGATTTCTTAAGCTATTTTGCAGACTTTGGAGCATGACTTTGCTAAGATGAAGATAGAGGCTGACCAGAAATCTGTAGAAAACTTGTGTATTTTTAAGAAGTTTGAGGAGGCCCAAGGGATTATTAAAGAAGCTGATATCACGCTCAATGAGCTCATAATAGCGAATGAAAAGATGAAAGCTGATCTGGAAAAACAGAGGAAAAGGGAAATCAGTTTGGTTGGAGAGAGAAGCGCCTTAGTTGACAAGCTGCAAGAGCTGGAATCCATAAAGGTCATAGGAAATGAGAAGTTTGAGAACCTTGAGAAGCTATTTGAGTCAAGTTTAATGGATAACTGCTCAAAGGATGTTGAGTCACTTGTTCTGGCGCTAAAAGTAGAAGAATATTCTTCTTGTCTCGCAGTTGTGGATAGAGAGCTTCTTGATTATCATGCCATCGTTGAGGGTCTTAAAGAGAAATTGTTTGTTTCCCAGGTGGAAAGTGAGCTCAAAGACCTCTGTCTGGCTGATAACAAATTGGAGACCGTTTCGATGGAACAAAAGCTGACTGAAGCACAAAGAAAAATCAAGGCTCTCTCATCGGACCTTAATCACAGTGTGCAAAAAATTGCCGAAATGGACGAAGTAAACAAGGTTTTTGGAGAAAGAGTCTTCTTCTTGGAGTCTTGCGTTGCTGGCCTACATCAAGATTTGGCGATGAAAGCTTCTGAAATTTACAGTCTCGAACATTCCCAGTCAGTGGTTGCAGAAGAATTAGATATCAAAGAAAGGGATATACAAGCTTATGCTAAGGCTGTCGGTGCGTTGAAGAATGAAAACAGCTCCCTTAAGCACAAGTTTATACATTTTGGTGAAGATCAGTCCAAAGCAATAGATGTCACGAGCTTAAGCATTGCCAAATGCATACAACTAACCAGGGATGGTCTGGTTATTTCTGATAAAACTTTCGAACTGATATGTGATAACGCCAATAAGGCTTCGGAATTCGCAGATACCGTTCAATCTTTGCAGATTGATGTACAAGACTTGTTGTCTGAGAATGTGAAGCTCCAGGATGAACTTTTGAGAAAGGATGATGTTTTAAAGGGGTTGTCTTTTGACCTAAGCCTACTACAAGAATCTGCTTCCATATCCAGAGACAAGAAAGATGAATCAAGGGAAATCATGGTTCATGTTGAAGCTTTAGAAAAGGCACTAGCTTTGAAAACCTTTGAACTAGAAGATGTTGAAGCTAGGCTGCAAGAGAGCAAAGAAATTATTTGCAACCTTGAAGCGGATACTGAAAAGGTAAGGCAGTGCCAAAAAAAATTGTCAGCGGAAAATGAAGAAATTAGAGCAGAAGCCGAATATCTCTTGGCAGAAAAAAACTCTCTAGAGGAGGAGCTGATCCAGACAAAGAAGGTATCGGAGAGCATGGAGATGGAGCTCTTTAATCTAAGAAATGCTCTCGGAGAATTGAATGATACAGTTGAGTTTAACCAGAGCAAATTAAAGGAGACCATGGTTGACAGGGACAGTCTCCAAGATGAGGTTTTGTACCTGAAAGAAGAAGTCGGGAAGATGAATGCTGAGGCTAGAAAAATAGAAGTTAGGTACATCGAAGCTCAAGAGGTAGACAACTACGCAGTTAGACTTGACAAACTTGTCGATTTCTCAAACCTTCTTGCAATGCTTACTAAAATTCGTTTCTCCTCTTTTCACAGATTGCTGAATCAAGAAAGATATATGCCGATCAGAGAGAAGAGGAAGTGAAGCTATTAGAGGGATCAGTTGAGAAGCTTGAGTATACTATTAATGTACTTGAAAATAAGGTTAGAATTAATCATTCCTCCTAACTATGTAACTGCTTAACTTAATCGTTGTGCTTACATTTCTGATGGAGGCGTATTTCAATAGGTTAACGTTATCAAAGATGAAGCTGAAAGACAGCGTCTGCAAAGGGAGGAGCTGGAGATGGAGCTTCATACCATACGCCAGCAGATGGAAAGTTCTAGAAATTCTGATGAAGAAATGAAAAGGTTAGAAAAAATTAAGCTACCTAAATAGGTATATGGTTAAAGCAACTCATTTCCTATTTTGTGTGGTCAAAGGATTTTAGATGAAAAGAACATGGATCTTGAGGAAGCTAAGAAGCATATAGAAGCGCTTGAGAGAAGTAAGGCTCACCAAAAGACCGAGGTAAATGTTATTTGAACATTGATGGATCCTTAGGTCAGTCTCAAAATTTCTGATGATATATGTAAGTTTACTCTGCAACAGATTTCTCAACTCAGCGCGCATATCTCAGAATTAAATTTGCATGCAGAGGCTCAAGCTAGAGATTACATGCATAAGGTAAACATGGTCCCTAATAGCTTTATTAACTTCACTTATTTCCCACAAAAGACTGGCATCACTTTGACTGATCCATTCTAAACAGTTCAGAGAATTGGAGGCAATGGCTGAGCACGTAAAGCCAGAAATTCATGTTTCTCAAGCTATGGATTCTTCATTGAGTAAAGGTTCGGGGAAGCCTCGGGGTTCTGGCTCTCCTTTCAGGTGCATAGGGTTGGGAATCGCACAACAAATGAGATCTGAGAAGGATGAGGAGCTTGCTGCTGCAAGGCTACGAATTGAGGAGCTTGAAACTGTAGTTGCAACTCGGCAGAAAGAGGTAACTATTTGAAAATGTTATATATATGTTGTACTTTATCACAGTCATTATTTGATATCGTATTTTCTTCTCCCAGGTATTTTTATTGAACTCAAAGCTCGCCAAGGTAGATAGTATGACCCATGATATCAATCGAGTGATGCTGGGTCTCAAACAGAATTGTGCTGTAAGTTCTTGTCCATGGTTCTATTACTCATTTCCTCTGTAATGAAAAATAAAGAATTCTCTTTAACCTCTGTGGAACCTGGTTCTATTACTCATTTCCTTGTTGTTCCTCTACTGTAGAAAACTGGTCATGGTACTAAAGCATATTCAGTCAATGACCTATTTCTTTTCTTCTACGCTTCTTTTTCTTTCTTTTTTTCACAGTCATTATTGGATAGTCAGCAAGTATTGAAGATAGCAGAGATGCTTCAACTTCATAGTACAGATTCACAAGAAAGGGTATTATTCTTTGGAATGAACTCCAGGAAGAATGACTAATAATTTAGTCATACTATAATCAAATTTCTCATGTCTGAAACTTTCTGAATATAGGATTTTGAAGTCTCTCAGCTCAAGCAGAAACTCAATGAATATAATGAGGAAAGGCAAGGGTAAGAGTGTCATGAACTCTGTCAACTTTTCAATAGAGGAAAGTGGATTATGGCCACTTGCAGATGTTTTATCATAGTTTCCTTTACAATACCTTGATGCAGGTGGATAGAGGAGATGGAAGGAAAGCAGACTGATCTAGTTACCGCGCAGATAGAACTCGAGGAACAAAGGCAGCATGAGCAACTGCTCAAGAAAGAAAACAAATTCCTGAAGGTTGGAATTACTTTTTCATTTAATTACTCTGATTCAATCTTATAGTACTAATTCTCTCTATCGTCACAGAAAGTAGGTATTTAAATGTTTTCTGACCCTTCAACAGAAGGAGAATGTAAGTCATAAAAGAAAAGTAATGGAACTTGAAGCAGAAGTGAATAAGCTATCGTTGCTGCAAAATCCAGAGTGGAGAACTCGTGATCATGGTAGAATCAAGGCAAGAAGAAATTTCTAACTTTCAGTACTTGTCTGCGTATTTTCTTTACTCTCCAGTACTGATTTACACTTTTGTCTCTCATCATATCCAACAGGAAGAAAACAATATGTTAAAACTACAGCTTGATGAGCTCAACCTGAAGCTACGAAGAGCAGATGTGAATATATCTCGTGCCAAAGAAGAGCTTGCTTGGTACCGAGCATCTGCCGGAAAAAACCGGCCGTGCCAAATGTGTAGTGTAGAATAATAGAAAAGAAACATTTGATTAATTGCTAACTTTTGAATTCTTATTATACTGTAGTAGATAAAACCGTAAGTTTTGTTTACATTAGCAAAATTCATGGTATTGTATATATATTAAAAGGCTCTTTGTGTATATTTGAAAAAGAAAACAAAAATTATGGCTCTTCCTTATACATATGACTAAGAGGTTCGTATACATTATCAGGAAAGCCCTAGACAAGAACCAAAAGTCAAAACCACCGGCATTTTTATTCTTAAGAGATCACAGCTCGGCATGCATTATTTTAGTCAGCTTTGATTCAAAAATTTGAACGTCTTGCGAATATAAACTTTCCGTGTCTGATGAGACCAAAGCGTTGTCATGGACCAATGTATTATCATTGGATTTGGGCCCTCATCTCTGACTTTCGTATGTTGGAAGTTTCTTGATGATGAGAAGAAAGTCTTGGTGTATTTGTGATAATGACGACTGCAAATTATAGAGTCACACATTTGGATTTTGGAGACATTTTTTTTACTGCCCTTTTTGTTTAATTATGTTCCAAGCTTGACTCAAATCCAGTAAGGTGTCGATCGGATGCATAAAAAAAATAAGGGGAGACTAATTTTAGCTACATGCAAATTTTTTGTTTTTCTTAATTTGTTTTTTTTCTTCTTTGTTGCATTAGCTTAACAATTTTTTTTTAAGTTTTAGTGATCAACAAATTGAAGATAACGTTCAAAAAAAAAATCTCTATAAAAATTGTTTTACTGATCAATCATTCGTTATCATGTTTTCATGCTTGCAACCGAGCTTCTACACACTCACAAATTATGAAATCTAGACCAATAGAGATTGGTTTACTGACCAAATACGGTTAGATAACCAAACCAATATGCCTGATTTGTAGTTATCGTTGGAGATATGGAGTTGAAATGTTACACAAATCATGCACAAGTTTGAAACAAACAAAAAATAATAGAAGAACAATTTGTATCTCTCATCTTCCAACGAATCATAAATTTGCCTTTATTCTTATACTTTTTTTTTCTCAGAAATAAAACAATAGTGAAAAAGATCAAACTGTGTATATATTCTCTAAGGATTAAATGTAAGGATTTCAACAAAAAACCAAACAAATCTCATCACTTGAAACTAAGCAAAACAAAAAAGAAAAAAAAAGTCACCAATAGTATTTGAGTTCTTGAGATTCGTACATGAGATGTCTAAACCAATCACTTTTTCTTTTTCATACGGGTCGTACATGACTGATTAGTATTGATCTTAGTAAAAAATATTTCTGATTTGAGCCACTGACATCTTGTTACATGAAACGGACGTTGTTGGTGATATCAAATCCTCTCATGTTGTAGTTACCTTCTAGATCAACAACAACACGATTTTGTCTTTGATTAGAACGTGAATGGGTGAAGATGATTCTTTTGGCAGAAGACATCTTCTTCTCTACGAAGACATCTTCTTCTCCACGAAGAGACACTGAAGATGGCGACGCCCGAGTTCCGCCTTCACAAGAAAGTGGTTTAACTTCTTTTCTGCCATACTTGAGAGTTGTTCACACGAGGGAAACAGAGAATAGAGAAAACACATTTTTAAAGACGACGACGAGGGAGAGAGAATAGAGCGCGAAGTAACTCTTTTAATTTCAGTATTTATAATTTTGTATATTTTCTTGATTAACTTTTTTCGATTAAAAAATGTCAAACTATAATTTTGTTTAAGATGATGCTTTTATTACAAAACACAACACACATATATAGTAGTTTTCTCTAATTACTACTTCTTAACTTCCATCATTCATACACCTTAACTCTAATACCTAGACTATCATACACAAGCCACACTACACTCACTTACACTCCAGCTACTTATCTTAATACCTTAACAACTACCACTTAGCTATTACAACAACTTTAACTTAGGCTTAATCATTTTAACACACACAACCAATCGCTTATTTGCCTGGGCTGATTCTCTAATTCGCAGGCCCATTACTCTTAAACAAGACTCTCTTCTTCTCCTCTGATTCCTTCTTCCACGACACCAGACTTTGTCTTCTTCCTTTCTTCTTCTAATTGAAACTACTTTTCGTTTGCTAGATTCAATCAAGGACTCAACCTTCAACAATTAGAAGCCGAAGCCCATTCAGCTTTATTTCATAGTTTGACGTTTATTTGTAAATGAATTATCAGATTCTGAACAGTAATATAATCCTGCGACAAGTTCATCAGCAAGCAGACAGATATACTTGATCAGATCTGACCGACTCCAATTAGATCGATGGAGGTAACGAGGTAGCCGGAGCTCGAAGCCTCGACAAGATGATGCCGTGGTAGTGTCGGGGGATATCTTCATCGTCAATTTTGGTCTGGAATAAGTAAGGTCGCTCACGGACGTTGGTATGATGACACTACGTCTTCACGAATGTATGGCTTAACACGCTTCAAAATGTGTTCTGACCCTTCAACAGAAGGAGAATGTAAGTCATAAAAGAAAAGTAATGGAACTTGAAGCAGAAGTGAATAAGCTATGGTTGCTGCAAAACACAGAGTGGAGAACTCGTGATCATGGTAGAATCAAGGCAAGAAGAAATTTCTAACTTTCAGTACTTGTCTGCGTATTTTCTTTACTCTCCAGTACTGATTTACACTTTTGTCTCTCATCATATCCAACAGGAAGAAAACAATATGTTAAAACTACAGCTTGATGAGCTAAACCTGAAGCTACCCGCGAAGAGCAGATGTGAATATATCTCGTGCCAAAGAGGAGTTTGCTTGGTACCGAGCATCTGCCGGGAAAAACCGGCCGCGCCAAATGTGTAGTGTAGAATAATAGAAAAGAAACATTTGATTAATTGCTAACTTTTGAATTCTTATTATACTGTAGTAGATAAAACCGTAAGTTTTGTTTACATTAGCAAGATATTTGGTATTGTATATATATTAAAAGGCTCTTTGTGTATATTTGAAAAAGAAAAAAAAAATTATGGCTCTTCCTTATAAATAAGACTAAGAGTTCTTGTATACATTGTTGGAGAGGACAATAAAGTCACACATTTGGGATTTGGAGGCAAATCTTTTGTTTTTTTTTTTAATTTGTTTCTTCTTACTTTTAACAAAGTTTTTTTTCAAGTCTTATGGTCAACAGATTGAAGATAAGGTAAAAAAAAAAACAAAAAAACAGATTGAATATCTCTATTGTCGCGTCCTGATCTTTCGTTGACACGTAATATATATGAGGTTATCATGCTTGCAACCGAGCTTCTAAAAAAAATTGAAGAAAAAACAGACTTACAAAACATGCACGAGTTCAAAACCAAAAAACAAAAAATAGGAGAATAATTTTTAGCTCTCATCTTCCAACGAATCCTAAATCAGCCTCTAATCTTCTACTTTGTTTCATCAAAGAAAAAAAAAAGTCACCAAAGAAAAAGTTTCTGATTCTAACATTTTCAGCAACAAACTTATCTTCTTTTACTTGAAGATGCTTCTTGGTCTTTTCTCTCTGGCGTGCTTACGTACAAGGTGCAAATGATCGGAAACTTCTTTCTCCGTTAAGTCATCTACGTACATCACTTCTTTAATTTCTCTGGCAGTTGCGTCTGTTAAAAAACATGGGAAAGAAAAGAAGTCAAGAATCACATAATTTTATAATAACTACTCATTCTTGAAAGAAAAAAAAACTTACTCCACAGTCCCAAGTGTTGCAACTGCAGATTCAAAGTTTTTCTTGAGCTGTTCATCTTGCCAATTAGTTATGGGACTTCGTTGGTCAACTGGGTAAGACGAGCCCACTTCAAACTCTAAGAGGTATGTCAAGTGGAGGTTAGTCAACGGAAGTCCCAAGAGAAAGGAGCCGTTGTGAGATTATGGACGGTGCTGGGAGAGACGAGGACGACAATGGTTGCAGATAGGAGGACAATAGGAGGACAACGGTTGTAGCCCGGGGAGAGGTTCGTCGACAGAACTGTTGGTCGTATCCCAAAGTAAAAGTTTTGTAGCGAAAAGTAGTCCATCGACAGAAGTTGAGATAAGGAGTCCATCGACTATGTTGGGTGCGAGACCTCTTTAAACTCTTACAGGGGAGTCAGGTCAACGGGAGGCAAACCTCTTTATAGATTCACAAAGTTACATCAATGGAAATCCCATCATTCCAAACAACACAATTACAATGTACATATCCACTCTTTGGTTATCAAGATATGCAAAAAAATATAAATTAGATTATCTATGCATATGTAGTTCTGGTTTGATTTTTGATCTTCATGTTTGTCACTGTCCATGTTGGACTCTCGCTATTGAATACCAATGCCCAAACCTGTTCAACGATGTCAGCACTAACCACTAGGGAAAAACATAAAACATAACAATGATATTCAAGATATGCCCAAATCTTGATCATCCGTTTTCTCCACCTTTAATCAACTCTTGAAGATTTATAAGGGCTTGGATTGTACAAGTATCATAATAATTCATATGTGGTGATATGACTTCACGGGAAGTTCTTGAGTTGATCATAATTACTTTAATGGAATCTCTTTTACTTGTACAGTACATCTTATGGGTGAGGAATACCATGACAACGTGTTACTTTATATGCCATAATTAGTGTAACTATGGTCGTATTCCAACACCTACGCATTAATTAATTTAAACGAACATAGCTGAGGAAAAAAATGAAGAATCGAAACGACGTCGTTGGTACTAAGTAAATTTCATAAATACCCTTTGTTCGGTTTCCACCTCAGGAATCGTTTTCCTTTCATCAGCCGCTTTGTATTTTCTCAAGGAAAATCTTTTTCGGTTTCTTCAGTAACGGAAAAATGGTTTCCGACTTGGACCTCGTGACCCGACTCCAAGAAATTCTCCGTAGCTCCGACCTACATACGGCGACTCCGGCAAGCGTCCGTCGTCAGCTGGAGGCGGATTTCGATGTCGAATTGACAGATAAGAAGGGATTCATCAGGGATCAAATCGATGCTTTTCTCGAGAGCAATGGCGGAGTAGAAGACAAACCAGATAGCCCTAAAGCAGAAGAAGACGAAAATACCGATGAAATGACTCAACCCAAGGCTGAATTTGAAGGAGGCGATGACGAAGACGACGACGCCGGAGATGCAAGTGATAGCAATGAAGACAAGGAAGAACGGTAATTTCTCTTGTACCGATCGTGATTTATGTGAAATCGAATTTTTTTTTTCTGTTAATTAATTTTACAAATCATGCCATACACAGAAATGTTTAGCATTGTCTATCGAACCAATCAAAAAGTTTCCGAGTGAAATTCCTAATTAACGACCACTTGTTGAATAGACATAGGTTAACTGATTCAATGTCCGTTTATCAAATTGTGTTCGAGGGATTACTGTTAACTGAAAGAGATTAACTTTGTTGATGTTTGTGTGTGATTTTTATGTGTTAGGCCAGTAAAGGCTAAGAAACGTGCTAGTGGATTCACCAAAGTATGCCAGCTTTCTCCACAACTTGAGAAGTTTCTTGGAACATCTCAGCTAGCTCGAACCGAGGTAAATTTCATCTTCTCTCAAGGATGGTTCTGAGGCGTTTTGGATCGAATTTTTTACTTCAATTTTGTGTCTTGTGTTGCATATGTATTATCAGGTTACTAAGAAATTGTGGGCCTATATCAAAGAGAAAGATTTGCAAGACCCAAAGGATAGAAGGAAGATATTGTGTGACGAGTCGCTGCATTCGCTGTTCCGTGTTAAGAGCATTAATATGTTTCAAATGAGCAAGGCATTAACGAAGCATATTTGGCCCTTAGGTGATGGAGATGGTACTTTCCTTGTCATACATTCACCTGTTTATAAAAAACTTTACAAGCTCTATTTTAGAATATCATCCTGCATTCTTCATGGATCTCAAGCTTCTAGCACAGTGACACTAGAAGTGTATTATATCTATATATCCATAGTATTCAGCCATTGATCCTAAATAGTTAAATAGACTGATTAGGTAATTAGGATCATGTGTTTGAAACAAAATACTAATTGTAGAGATTAATCATGTATTCATGTTTAGTTGGCGGAATCTATTAAGCTATTGTTCGGTTTAACACATTGGTTTTTAGGATGCCTATATATTTTTGCTAGAGTCCGCTTAAATAAACATCAGCTTTATTTTGTAAAACGGTATTGTATATCTCCTGACTATGTTGGGTTGGAGACAGCAATTCCTGAATTTGTGTTACCCACCAGGAGACCAAGCACAATGAAATGATTCGTTTTTACAGGATGTGTAAACAGTGTGAAAGAAGAAGATGAGGATGAAGATGAAGATGAGGCCTCAGGGGAAAGAGATAAGAAGGGGGAGGAAAACGAAGAAGTAGAAGAGGAAAATGAAGAAGAAAGTGAAGAGGAAGTTAGGAGGACTTTACGAAAACGCAAGAGAAAAAAGTTAGTTTTCTCTTTCTCTCTCAGTTCTTGTACTGTCCAGCTAGTTATGGACCACCTTAATGCCTTTAAACTTTGTTTTCTCTATCAATAGACCAGTCAAGTCGGTGGATAAGCCCAAGAGAAAAGGAGGAGGTGGCTTTGCAAAAGTTTGCAGCCTCTCGCCAGAGCTTCAGGCTTTTACTGGGGTGACAGAATTAGCCAGAACAGAGGTACATGGCTTACTCGAGTGATTGCCTCTCTTTGTCCTGTAACTCAAGCTATGAGCCTAAATTTCAAAGATACCTATCTAAGTTTCTTAACCAATTCCCTTGTTTTTCTAACATTTTATTTGGTGAATGGTTTCAGGTTACGAAAATGCTTTGGAGCTACATAAAGGAGAACAATTTGCAAGATCCAAATGATAAACGGACAATAATATGTGACGAATCATTGCGATCTCTGTTCACTTTCGAGTCCGTCAATATGTTTCAAATGAGTAAACTTCTAACCAAGCACATATGGCCATTACAGGATAATGCAGGTATTTGATGATTGAAAAGTTCGTCCATTCTCTGGGAACCATCTTTTCCGGTTTAGGCCTTTTAAGCGTATATATTAATTTTTGTTCGTCTCTGGGTCTAGGAGAATCAGTTGGCTCTAAATCTCCAAAAAATGGAAAGCAAGAAATGGAAACAGACGGAGGTAAGAAAGCTAGATGAATTTCAGTTTGTCTCTTTTTTTCATCAAGGTAAAAACAAAACATATACATTGGGTCAAACACAGAGAGTGACGAACCAAACGAGAAAGATAAAAAGCAGATTAAGGAAGGTTGCGTTCTTCTTGCTCCCCTCCCACTTTCAGATGCTCTTGTCAAGTTCTTTGGTAATGGAGAAAGCTCGTTGTCAAGGGCAGATGTGGTAAAGAGATTGTGGGAGTACATAAAACAGAATGATCTTCAGGTGTGCCATTTGCTTTCCACACTGTTCTTCTCACTTACTGTTTCCTTTCTTTATTTTTTCATTAAAATTTATGGCTTCTTTACAACTGTCTCCATAACTTAGGATCCTTGTGAGAAGAGGAGAATCATATGCGACGAGAAGCTGAAAGAACTCTTTGAAGTTGATTCATTCGAAGACATATCGGTCTCAAAACTTCTGACTAACCACTTCATCAAGACCGAACAATGACACCTCTTAATTTCTGGTAGAAGTTTTGACATAGGCAAAATCTAGTTCACCAAAAAGTCGGCTTGGATCAGTAAAGATAGCCATGGCCTTGATTTAGTCTCCTTCAGTGGTAAGCTAAAGACTAAAAGGTATCGGTTTTGAGACTTGTAAGCAAGGCGTTTTCTAAATTTGCTTGCAAGTGCACGCTTTTGATATGTAGTAGTGATACCAGAATGAATAGTTTTGAGACCAAAACAATTGTTTAAATCAGTTCCTTTATTTTGGTCCTATTTTATGTACCATAAAAGTTACCAAAAAGAAGAAGAATCTCAATTGTGTTGAAATTTACTAAACAAAAACGTAGTGTACATTTTTGCAAATGCTTATTACTTTTAGTTAAGTTATGCATCATAAGATTAAGATAAGAAAAAACTTGGTTATACAAGGATTTGTCCATCGAAACTGATATAAATTGCTTAGTTGGTTGGTTAACCGGACTTCCATCAGCCTTTTAGAACACAGACACACACTACAAGAAAGATTGGGTTTTACGTCGGCAGATATCGACGTAAAATATTCAAGAAAGATTGGGTTTTACGTCGGCAGATATCGACGTAAAATGATATTTTACGTCGAATTAACGACGAAAAAAAAATCATCGTAAAACGATCGTCGTAAAACCAAAATCGTCGTAAAATCGTCGTAAATTTACCAACCCGGGAAAATCATCGTAATATCGTCGGAAACTATTCGTCGTAAACGCGACGTAAAGTTTCCAACGAAAGAAGTCCATCATAAGAACAACGTAAAATCGATGTAAAATTACATCGATTTAACAACGATTAGGAGACGAACAATTTCAATTAAGAGAAATTAATTTTTTAATTGTCGATGTTAATTCGTCGTAAAGTTTCGACGTAAATCCGACGTAAACATATTCGACGTAAATTCGTCATTAATAATTCGACGTTAGATCGACGTAAATTTACGACGAATTTACGTCAATTTATAAATTCATATTCGACGTAAATTCGTCGTTAATAATTCGACGTTAGATCGACGTAAATTTACGAGGAATTTACGTCGATTTATAAATTAATTATTTAATTCGATTTTAATTTAATTAATGAATTTTTAAAATAATTAAAAAATTAAAAATAGAAAAAAACAATTTAAATTGAAATTTAAATTCGAAAATAATTTATAAATAAAAGAAAAAATTTAATACAAATTGTTTTTTACAAAAAAACCTAATCTACAATGTGATTTCGTAATCGTCGAGGTTGAGATCGACGTCACGAGGAGGCTCTCCGTCTTGGCCGCCCGTCGCTGCTGGACCGTCGTTTCCCGTCTGCACTACTGGAGCCGAAGACTGACCATGCGTCTGCTGGTCCGATGGTCCAGTACCGGAAGCACCGGTCTCAAAAACCCTTCGTGCTCGCTGTTGCCTCGCTCGGATTGCGGTGGCCAACTGCGGAACCGCTTCCGCAACGATGTCGAAGAGATCGTGTATCTCGGTGAGCTCCTGCTTCTGGGCCACTTGCTCATGTCTGAGAGTGGTGATCTCAGCATTGGCCGTAGCAAGTTCCTGGCGAAGATGACTCGGATCCTCCTGCGTGCGAAATCCGGAAGCCGAGGCGGCAGGACAGTCTCTAATAGAGCCCATCCCTAAGGTTCGGCCCTTCTTCTTCGGAGCAACCTACAAATGGAAAATGAAAACGTTAATTATTTATTAAGTAATAAATATAATAAATTTTTAAAAAATTGAATAGATCATACCTCTTCGAAAATCTGGTCTTGCTCAGCGACGGTCAACGGTACTTGGATAGTACCGTCAGGTGTGGCCTGGGTCTCCCGCTCGGCGATCCGCTGCATAGCGGCATTGTAGATCTCCTCAGACCGAGCGTCGACAAAGCTCCCGTCCCTCTTCCGGTGAGTGGTCTCGAAGAGCTTCGTCATTGGAGGTAGTTCTCCTCCGTTCTCCTCGGCCTACCAATTAATAAACATTAGTCAAAAATATTTAATAAATTATAGCAATAATTAAAATTAAAATAATAATAAAATAATTTATATTTAATTACTTGCCATCATGAGACGTCTTCCCGCAAAAGATATTTGACCAGAAGTGTGCGGGGTCACTAACTTCTGACCACTCACCGGATCGACCTGGTTTCGGACGGCCGAACACTTAGCCGCAGTGGTTTGGGCATGCGGGTCCAGCCAATACGCCTTCAACCCGTTCCAACAGGAAGTGGACATGGAGCTCGGCTTTGCGTCGTCTCCATCGGTCTCCCACTTCCGCTTCCAATCGGAAACGGTGTTGACTAGGCGTTTCTGCGCCTTCAGCCGGAAAGCTTCGCGGACCGTCTCGTTGATCCCGATGTCCCAGTTCCACCGTTGCTGCAAAAGAAAACAAAAAATTAGATAAACAATATAAAAGTAAGATTAATTAAATTTAAAACAATTTAAAATGATATAAATAAGATTTTAAAAACATTACCGCGAAGCACTTGTACCAGGTGTCGAACGTCTCTTGCGACACCTTGCTCCAATTGTAGTGCAGCTCCACGAAATGACTCCTAATTGTGTCGGAAACTCTCCGACCGACACAATTATCCAAATCAAACCTATGAAAACAAAAAAAAACATAGCCACGTGTGAAATACATAGCTGCAGTAGTTATCTTCGAAATAGGACCTAGGAGCAACTCATGAAACCATACTGCATATGTCATGTCATCATGCTCGACTTGACCTTTTAACCACAATGCATAATGTTGGTCTTTCCGCTTGTTAATTTCATCTTCTGAAACACCGTCAATGCATTCTCGGACTTGACTGACGAAAGTGCTGAAATTTTAAAACATTGTTAAGGACATTTCGTCTGTTCAATCAAATTTTAATCATGCATGGTTATAATTATGTACCTCTCGTAAGGTGCCAATTCCTCGCAACTCAGAAGTATATATGTATGTGCGCTGTGGTAGTCTTGTTCGTTTGACCAACAAGTTTCTTTTAGTTTCCCACTTAGACGTCCAATTGGTGAGAATATATCAGGCACACCTTCTACTGCGTAACTTTGTCCTACACCCCCATCGTCGTAACGTCTTGGAGCCCGTTTGCGTGTACGAACCTTTGGAGCAAAGTAATAAGACGTGAAATGAGAAGTCTCTTCTGTCAGACTTCCCGCCACGATAGACCCTTCAACTTTTGCTAAGTTTTTGGCCTTACCCTTCAAATGCTTCATAAATCGTTCAAACGGATACATCCACCTAAACTGAACGGGTCCTCCCAACTCTGCTTCATGAGGGAGGTGTATAGGTAAATGTTCCATAACATCGAAGAAAGCAGGTGGGAATATTTTCTCTAAATTGCACAACAATATTAGAATATTTGTAGACAGTTATGCAACTACATCTTCTGATAATGTCCTTGTACTTAGATCACAGAAGAAAGCTCCAATGCCTCCTAGTGCCTCATGGACATGTCCCGGTAGGAGTTCAGCAAACGCAAAAGAAAGTAACCGTTGCATAAACACATGACAATCATGACTTTTCATCCCTGAAAACTTTTGTCCTTTATCCACAGATTTAGCCAGATTAGATACATATCCATCAGGAAATTTCACGGCTGATGATACCCAATTAAACAATGCTGTTTTTTGTTCAGCACCCAACCGAAATACAGGAACAGGTGCTTTCCCATTACTCACCATATGCAACTCAATTCTGTTACATATATCGGGTAAGTCCATCCGTGATATAACGCTGTCTTTGGTTCTTCCTTGGACGTTCAAAACAGTATGCATGATGTTATCGAAAAAATTCTTCTCAATGTGCATAACATCAAGATTATGTCTGAGCAAATGATCTTTCCAGTAAGGCAGATCCCAAAATATACTTTTCTTGTGCCAATTATGATGAACCCCATATCCTTCAGGCATATTCGCAGGAGTGTGCCAATTTTCTCCTCGGGGGACCGTTTCAAGTCCACCCCAATGATCTATTTGCGCTTCAAGCTCTTCTCCAGTTAGGTATGCCTACCAGACATACCAGATGGACTAAACCCGTCAGTGCAAAGACCAAGATAAACATTTCGCTTAGACCTAGAAAAGTCTGGATGTACGGTGTTAAAATGTTTCCAAGATTTCCCGTCAGACGGGTGAGTCAGTTTGCCATCTGTTTGTGAATGTTCCGCATGCCATCTCATCGACGCAGCTGTCCGTTCAGATTGATATAGTCTTTTTAACCTATCAGTGATAGGAAGATACCACATTCGTTGGTAAGGAATCTTCTTACGCCCAGCAATTTGCGGTCTATATCTTGGCTTTTGGCAGAAACGACATTCTTCAAGCTTCTCATCATCTCTCCAAAAAAGCATACAATTATCAACACAAACATCAATCATCTCAGAAGGCAATCCAAGACTAAAAACCAGTTTCTGAATTTCATAATACGTTTCAGCAGCCAAATTATCATCTGGCAAATACTCTTTAATAAGATCTGCCCAATCGTTCATGCAAACTTCAGATAGATTGTGATCAGTTTTTATTGTCATCATCAGAGCTGCCAATGATAATTTTGATAAACCTTCCCTACATCCCTCGTACAGAGGCTGTTTTGCTGCGTTTAACATATCATAAAAGCGTTTCGCATCTGCATTGGGCTCCTCAACAGTATCAGCATGTGTTTCATGAAATGCATCAGTAACCATTTCATGCATCCTATCATGATCTTCACCCTGAACTTGACTACTTTGATAATCATTGGACGCTTCAAAATCCACATGTTCTTGATGATTACTACTACTCCGTGCAGCCATCTGACCACTACTTTGACCATATCCCTCTCCATGCTGATACCAAATAAAGTATTGGGGCATGAACCCTCTATTCAATAAATGCTGCCAGACAGTGTCAATAGGAATATGTTTCCTATTTTTGCATTTCACACAAGGACAATACATTTTGCCGCTTTCAATTACAGTTTGCATAAGGCCGGCTTGGTACATGAATATTTCCAATCCGTTTTTGAAGTCTTCAGTCAACGACCCATCACCATTTTTGGGCGTATACATCCACTTTCGTAGATCGTATATAGACATTTCAAAAACAAATATTTGACTTTTTGTTTCTGAAATTTGATATAAATTTCAACTACTAAAAATTTTACTTAAACATTCAAAGACTCAAAAATTTGTGTCTTTATATGTTTTTTTGGGTTGATGAAATAATGAGAGAAGAAAGGGTATATATAGAATTTTTTGTTTGGTTACCAACATATTACCATTGCATATTTACATCAAATTTACGTCGAAATAAAACTTACATCACATTTACATTGATTTTATGTCAATTACAAGATAGAGGACAATTAGTCGTATTATCGATGTAAATATTACGACAACATTACGACGAATTAAAATCCGTTCTTCATTCGTCGTAATATCGTCGTAACATCACGACAATTTTACGAGGGTCATTTTTTACGTCGAATTTACGACGAAATTTTTGATCGTCGTAAATACGTCGTAAATTTACGACGACTAAAAATCGTCGTAACTAATTCGACGGAAAAACCTCTCATTCTTGTAGTAACATAGTTCATAGCCTTTGTGTTGAAGATCTATTATATATATAGTAAAAGTCAAAGTGGTAGTGTGTTATTAATTATATAGAAGAACGATGATATATTAACCGATATCAGAATGCCTCTAGTTTTGTCAACAATTTCTTTTTTTTTCCAACTTTTGTCAACAATGCTAAACTAAACAATTCTAGAGAGAGAGACGATCAAAGTAAAAAAGGAAATAGTATTAATTATGAACTAAAAAGGAAATAATATTAATTATAAAAAAAAAGGAAATACAATACTATAAACTACAAATCCGGGACCAAAATTAGGGTTTTTCTTTGAGAGAGAAAGAGGAACAAGAGGCGGAGGGTTTTAGAGGAACAAGAGACTTGGTTGCAATGATGAACACTCCCACAGCACAATCATCAAACAAGTAATCTCTCTTCCTATTCATCCCTGTTTTTACCAAAAAAAAATTACTAATCTTAGTGATAAATCGATAGAAAAATTAAAAAAAAACATAGATTTAGGCGTTTGATAAATCGATTTATATGAATTAGTCGATTTATGTTTCGATTAATATCTAACTAAAAACTATATATAGTGCACGATTTTATGTTAACAAACAAATTAATAATTGGAATTAAAAAAAACACCGATTAGTAATATGATTCTAATGAGTAGTATAACTTGTACAAAATCATTCAATATATGACCCTTTTTTTAATCTTCCTTCATTAGTTGCAGTTCATAGTGCTTCCGTGCCACGGACAAGGGATCCGTGGAAGTTGATGTTCATTGAGGAAATTGAGAAAACAAAGACACTTTCGGGTAAATGTGTTAAAATCAAAGCACGTATTGACTCTCTCAAGGAGGAGAAGAGCAATATCAAGGATCTCGACTTTCCTCTATGCAAACAATTCTTGGATCATGGTAATTAATTTAGTTTTTATATGTGGATAATCATTAATATCGATATATTAGTTATCTTTCAACCTATAAATGCAAATTAACTTTTTTTTTTTTTGGTTGTTGTTGTTTGGAAATATTACAGCTATAGAGGCTCTTGATGTGGAACATGATAAAGTTTCAGCGGAAATAACGGACATAATGAATCGAACTGGAATAACCGATGTAAGAGAATTACCGGAAGAGATGATAAAAATGTTTCAGAATCCAAGTCTTGCCCCAACTAGCCGTGCGCTACGAGCACCACCACGAGCACCACCGGGACTGAGTCAACTACATCAACAAATACTTCTGCAACAAGAGTACATTGCGCGACCTCGAAAATTACAGAGAGCAGGTCCTCTTTAACTTGAATTATTATTAATGCTGCTACAACATTTTGTTACCAATTCTCCGGGTAACGTACGTTGTAGTTTGTGGTCGTCTTTGAAGATTTCTTTATGAATACTTATTGGATGATACTCGATTGTGATCAGACTCATGAAAGTATTGGTTTTGCTGATGGTGAAAAACACTTTTGTGCTTTTGATATACTGTATATATATATATATATATATTTTTTTTGATTCAGTTTATTCCAATAGAAAATGAACCTTTTTGGTTTTCCATCTTGTTTGTGATTCGAAACTCAGCATTTTCACCAGTCAGCAAAAATATTTAAATTACTTTTCTTATTTTGAGTTTGCTTAAAGTTAATAATAAAAAGTTTAGGGTTAACAATCAAGTTCGAAATAAAGGACCAACTGGTGGTGCATGGTGGTGGTCTAATGATATTGATAGTGTTTGTAGTGACGTTCAAGGTTACTACTACAACTTTATTTCGAATGGATAATTTATGCTTTAAAATGTGGTGTTATATATCAATGGCGTGGCTTACCGCGGGTACGTACTAAAAGAAAAAATCTTGAACCAAAGATGTTTGCAAATAATTTTAGGTTTCGAAAGCAAGATCGTATAAGGTATACTCATAAAGGGAAATTATTAACTGAATTCGGATGATAAAATAGTAAACTAAGACAATCTACTAGGATACATGTTATAGGATGTAGGACTTCCATCCTAAATAATGCATAAGAAAAGGGAAATTGGTGAAAGATGAATTAATGAGAAGAAGATGATCACATAGAGAACAAAGAATCGTGATGATTAAGGAAGAAGAAGAAGAAGAAGTAGAGTCAACAAGAGAAAGCAAATCACCGAAGAAGGTGCATGTGCCGTGACTTTATTCACAAAGGAATTAGAAAAAGACCATTTGACTATAAGTATAATTAAAGACCATAATGGGTTTCGTTGGTTTATCCGTAGATTAGGTTTAGAACATATTTAGTATACGTATGTATGTCAGTATGTAATGTGTGGATGAAAAAAGAGAGCAGAGTGTTTCAAGAAAATTCTCAAAAACTTACATAGTAGAGCAATAGACATAAACATAGTTGAATAATGTAAATGCTTTGTGTATATTGATAATTCTCTTAAAAAGAATATAGAAGTGTTTTTTTTTTTTTTTTTGCAAATTTTGAGAGGTCTATAATTGAAAAGTTTTTCTTTCATAATGAATTAACAGAAATCTTATATATCTCAATTTATGTAAGAAATGCGTTTTTAGAGAGATATAATAAAAAATATTAAGAGAAATAGTAAAAATACACAGTCAAAACTGGACGCTTGTTTCCCTCGTTAAAAATCCATATTTTGCGCGAAAAAACGAAGGCTTGAAAACTTTTTCCATGTTTTGAGATTATTGAGAGAGTGAGAAAAAAACTAGCGAAGAAGAAATCAAACCAAAAGAAAAAAATCAGAAACAACATCAAAAACTACTCAGTATTAATATTGTTTCTTTTTTTCTTTGTTCAACCAGTATTAACGTTGTTAGATAGAAAATTTTAATTTTTTAAAAAAACTTAAATACCCAAAAAAATATATATATAGTTTAAGAGATTTTTGCAGAGTGATCGAGGAAGATGGCGCAGATGCAGCGAGAAGAGGTAGAATCCGTCACAAAGGAGACGACGGAGAAGAAATTACTACACGGAGGAGGCGGCGGCGGATCTCAGGTATCGTCAGCGTTCAAATTCAACGCTCAGGCGCCGGAATTCGTACCGCGATCGCATACTACCACCGCACCAACACCGCAGGTTTCTCCGATCTCCGGTTACTTCTACCCTTGCTTCCATTACAACGGCGGTTGCATAGGAGGATGCGGCGGCGGAGTTTGCGGCGGAGGAGGAGGAACCGGCGTCGGTTCTCAGTCTTCCGATTGGATCTTCGTCGGAGGAGGAGATCCTTCTCAGCACCAACACCTTCACGATCCAGCGGCTGCGTTTTACATTTCGAATCCGGCGGTTCAGTTTCCGGCGAATCAGAACTCCTCTTCTTCGTCGAAGAATTTGCTCTCCGACGATCTCCGCCTCAAAATCGTCAAACAGGTTTTTAACATTTTTCTATTAAAAAAAAAACATTACGTCATGAGATCAGATTTACAATGATCATATGCAACAAACTAACCAAATTTATTTTGTTGATTGTGTGTTATTGACGGAATTGCAAATAACGATATACTGTAAGATTATTTTTCCGGTTAACTATGCAATTCTCTTGTACCGATAAACCAACTCTGGTTTAGCCTTTCAATTCCAATTCAGCAAATCAGATTCATCAATTTCTTGACTCGCAAGAAACCGATCATTGCTTTCAAATTATATAGGTTGAGTACCAGTTCACGGACATGAGTCTATTAGCCAATGAGTCCATTTCAAAGCACATAAGCAAAGACCCTGAAGGTTATGGTAAGTACATTCTTGTAATTTTTCTGAAAAATCTTGTTGAAGATGATTTTGCATTCATATGTCTGTCTCTGTTTAAACGCAGTGCCCATATCTTATATCGCTTCGACGAAGAAGATCAAGGCTTTGACGAGTAACCACCATCTAGTTACATTGGCTCTACGCTCCTCCTCAAAGCTCGTAAGCCTCTTTCTTTATTCTCTAGCTACCACCAAATTAACATAAGATATTCTAAGTAATACTGAGATTAAATTTTGATCAAAATAAGGTTGTGAGTGAAGACAGCAAGAAAGTTAAGCGTAAAATTCCTTTTACTGACAGAGACAGAGAGGAATTGCAGGTAATTTTAATGAGATTACATGAAAGCCTTCATTATATTTATAATCAACTATATATCAATGATATTTTCTTGTTTCTGTCTATATTGTTCTGTAGGCCCGGACTGTTGTTGCAGAGAATTTGCCAGATGATCACTCTTACCAAAACCTTGAGAAGATCTTTGGAGTTATTGGAAAGTAAGAAGGGCTTTAAACTCTGCTTCATACTTTCACTTAAAACATATATGGCTTCTTTGTATTAGCTAACAAACAACATGTATGGATTTGCTTCAGTGTCAAGGCGATCCGTATCTGTCATCCTCCAGAGTCCACCTCCTCTCGTCCAAAAGGAGATTTCTTGATGAGCAACAAAGTAAGTACCATGATCTGTTTCTAATCATTTCCACTGTTCTTGAGCTTTTTCATGGACTTAACATTCTTCTTGTTCTATAATCCCAAGATTCACGCCCTTATCGAGTACGACAACACTGTTATAGCGGATAAAGCTGTGAGTGAATCGTTACATTTCAGTCTCTTATCCAAAGTTCTTGTGTCTATTAGTTTCTGATATATAGCAAATGTGATCAAACCAGGTGGAGAAGCTGAACGATGAAAGAAACTGGAGGAAAGGACTTCGTGTGAGGTTGCTTCTTAGATGCTCGGTAAACCACTTAATTACACACTTTTATGTTTATCAACGCCCATTTCTCTCACAACTCAAAAACTCTCTGAGATTAAATGGCCATAATTCGTGTTTAACAAACAGCCCAAATCAGTCCTCAAAAACAGAAGAAACTTCGATGGCATCCTCATCGATGATGAAATCCCTTCCTATGAATCAGGAGAAGACTCCCCACGTCTCCATTTAACCGAACAGCAGCTTGATAACGACGTTAGTGTAGCTCAATTCCTTCACACTAAATCTTTCCATATATATACATTTTAAGAAGAAAAAGCATTTCTTGTTATGCACGTTAGGGTGATGACAACACTGTTAGTGGACTTTGGGGAAAAGGGAGAGGAAAAGGACGAGGGAGATCTCCAAGAAGCTATGCGGTAGGTGGAGGAGCAGGAGGACGTAGCTTCGGGATTGGACTCGGACTCAGCCTCGGTTCTATGTCACCGAGCCTAGGCCCACACGAGTCTTCGTCTCCAAAAACAGCAACGAAGGGACCAAGAATGCCTGATGGAACCAGAGGCTTCACCATGGGACGTGGCAAACCTTCAATCTCACTCTCACCTAACAATCTCTGAATAATTCCCTTTCAACGAGACTACAATTTATTATATAATAGAGATAAAAGCTATAGAGTTAACCAAATAATACATGTGGGTTGGTTTTTTAAGATATGGGTTCACAGAAGCAAGGACATGATGGAGGAAGTCGCTAGCTATAATGTATGAACTACAAAGGCATGGCCAAGATTTGTGAGGTTTTTTTCTTTTATATAATCTTCTTTCACATTTTTTTTTTATTCTCTAATTTGGGTGATTTCTTTTGTATGTTTTGATATATTGATTTTTGTGAGGTTAATTGAATAATGAAGGGTTTATAGCATTTTTTGATTTAGTTGACTAGTTGAATAATTGATTATGTGACTCGAAGATTTGGTAGTAGAAAACTAATCATTTTTGCAATTCTTTGTTTTTTAATCATTTTGAAATTCTTTGTTTTTAATAAAATATATATGAAAAAATGAATGATCAAAATAATGAACTAAATCAAACAGGAATTACCAGTAACCAACTTCTTAATATATAATAGATTAAATACTAAATGGGAGGATCAAAATAAACATAAGTAATTTCTACGATCTTGTAAAATATTCGAGAGCGATCATCAAATCAAGAGTTAGTGAGAATAAACTAGAGATGTGGACCAGTTATTTTTCTTGAAGATGCTGAAATCTATTAAACTTATTGAAAATTAATATACATCCTGTCCAGATACAATGAAGTTGTTGGGTTACAGATATCAACATGTTTCAAGAACAAGCAGATACGTAGTAACGTACATACAATCAATTGATATACATTACTAACGTAATCCTGATTTTGAGAGCGAAATAATTATCTGACTATAGTTAATTAGTAATAGTCTAATAGATTCTAATTTGGCTTCTTTCCCTGACCATTTGGTTTCTACTAGAGAATATAGATTAAACATTAATATAACTACATATATGCATTTCCATGCATGGACTATGATTCATGGTTGATAAATAATTTTCAGTAAAATCTTTACAAAATTACAAACTTATTACCACCAACCACATGTTCCAATTGTATTATTATTACAATGGACCACTTTTTGTTTCAATGCAAAGAAAAAACCAAGTATAAAACACACACGTCGGTGGTTACATAAACAAAACAAACGCATGCATGTACTTATGGTAATTTTGCTTGGAATGTTGTTGTTTACGAGTTTCGAATTCCATTTTGGGTTTGTTTCTTAAAAAATACAATACAACACCTTAGGTATATATATATATTCTCAAATGACACAATGTGCAAAGTAGAAAAATATGCTATATAATATGTAATTCTACGAAAATGTATATTTTGTTTGAAAAACAAATATCTTGGGTTAATGAATTAGATAATTTGTTGTCATAAAAAGTAGAAATCATATTTACAAATCTCTTTATGGCATCTTAATTTGTTGTATACATAACTAGATTCAGAAACCGTTTTTATTTCTTATCATTTCTGTAAGATTTTTTCATAAATTGAGATCTTCGCCATATTCACCAATTTAGGTAAAACTTTGATTGGCTTGATATTCCTCTAAAACATATCAAAATACAAAAGACAAAAACTATAGGCCCCCCCAAAAAAGACAAAAATAAAAGAGATAAATAAACTCAAAGTAAAACAAGAAACGTATATTGCTTAGAGAAATAACAAAACTTATGTGTAAAATAAATAAAAAATAAAAAAAGACAAAAGTAGAAAGACGTGGCAAAAAGCAACTAATTTCCACCAATCCACATCTACCTTCATCAGATCAAACCAATTTAACACCCGCAGATTCTGCCATGTGGCCTCTCTCTCCTCTACAGCTCACTTCCTCTCTCTCTAAAACCAGAGCAGCTTGCTTCAATGTCATTTGCTGTGATTCTCATAAAGTCCAGTGTCCCAAATCTTCTTCTTCTTCTTCTGTCTTTTTGAATATTTTTTCTTTCAATTTCCGTTTAACCGGAGAAGACTATGGGAGGCTGTACCTCCAAACCCTCCGACTCCGTCAAACCTAATCCCTACGCACCCCGAGACGCGTTTCCCCAAAATGACGATTCTACCCCTGCCCATCCCGGGAAATCACCGGTTCGCACCTCAACCGCCGTAAAGGCGTCTCCTTTCTTCCCCTTCTACACTCCAAGCCCCGCCCGGCACCGCCGTAACAAGAGCCGCGACGGCGGAGGCAGTGGAAGAGGAGGAGGAGAGAGCAAGAGCGTTACCAGCACTCCGCTCCGTCAGCTCGCGCGTGCTTTCCACCCTCCTTCTCCGGCCAAACACATACGGGATGTTCTGCGGCGGAGGAAGGGGAAGAAGGAGGCTACTTTGCCGGCGGCGAGGCATCAGCAGACGGAGGAGGAGGAGGAGAGAGAGGAAGTAGGGCTTGACAAGAGATTTGGCTTCTCCAAGGAGTTTCAGAGTAGGATGGAATTAGGGGAAGAGATTGGGAGAGGGCATTTTGGGTACACTTGCTCTGCTAAGTTCAAGAAAGGAGAGCTCAAGGATCATGAGGTTGCTGTTAAAGTCATCCCTAAATCTAAGGTTAATTCTACAGCTAAATACTTTCTTAATTGGGCTCTCAAGTTTTCATCTTTAGTTTTTTTTTTTGCTTCAGTTGGCTTCTTGATTATTGGTGAGAGAGCAATGCTTCATTGTATTGTAGTGATAGGTAAATTCGAGAAATAACATATTTGCAGGTTTCTTGTTCGTTGTCTGATTTTTGTTATTAGTAGATGTTACCCTGTTTCACGGTAATAATAGCTTATGGCTGCAAGTAGAATAGACTTAGAAGAAGAAAGCATTCATAGGTTCTCTTGATGTTTCTTTTCTTCTCTATGAACTTAGTGTCTTCTTTCTTCTGAGCCATCTTGTTGGAAAATAAAAGGCGTGTGGAGTTTTATGCTTGGAAATTAATAGAGAAACAAGTAGTATGTATGAATTCGGATGAGGTTGAAATTTTCATCCATGTTTGTCAAAAGGCCAAGATTTTAATGGTAATGGGTGTATGTCTTGCTGACTTTTCTGTGGAAAAAACAATCTACACGTTTTAAATTGGTCAATAAATTGGAAGCATAGACATTTTGTGCTTATGTCATTTAGCAAATGAAATTTCTATGGTCGTTATGCAATTTTGTATCATGCAATCAAGTGTTAGCTTAATCCAAAATAGACTGTTGCTCATTAGTTTTAGTTTGGCAGATGACAACTGCAATATCTATTGAGGATGTGAGAAGAGAAGTAAAAATCCTGCGGGCTTTATCTGGACATAACAATCTGGTACGGTTCTATGATGCGTTCGAGGACAATGCCAACGTCTACATCGTTATGGAGTAAGGACACCTCGCTCTCACGCTACATATAATGTTTGAATCAATGAGAATCTTATTAGACTTTTCATGAAAAGAATATACTAGAGGAGCTATCAGATTCTTATTTTCTTGGCAGGGCTTACTTCAAAAATGTTCCAGCTGTGAATAAACAATTACTTTGCTCGAACTTTCAGGTTATGCGGAGGTGGTGAACTCCTTGACAGAATACTAGCGAGGTCTGGTATTAGAGAAAGAGAATCATTGCTATGAAAGTTTTTTACTTATTCTTCTTGGAGATGTTCTATTGCGTGTCTAACTATTTCATATTCTCTTTCAGGGGAGGGAAATACTCTGAAGATGATGCAAAAGCAGTGCTTATACAGATCCTTAACGTCGTAGCTTTCTGTCATCTCCAAGGAGTTGTTCATCGAGATCTAAAACCAGAGGTGAACCACAGTTTCCTTTGTCTTTCCCTTCAAAATCTGAAAGAAAGATCTTCTCTTAGTTTGAAACGTCCCCTAATTTAACACCAATCTCAAATTTGAAACGCTTTAATGTACCAGAACTTCTTGTACACTTCCAAGGAGGAGAATTCTCAGTTGAAAGTCATAGATTTTGGTTTATCGGACTTTGTTAGACCAGACGAAAGACTAAATGATATTGTGGGAAGTGCATATTATGTAGCCCCTGAAGTTCTACACAGATCTTATACCACGGAAGCGGACGTTTGGAGCATAGGAGTAATAGCATACATTCTCCTATGTGGAAGCCGTCCTTTTTGGGCAAGAACTGAATCAGGAATCTTCAGGGCAGTTCTTAAAGCTGATCCGAGTTTCGATGAACCTCCTTGGCCTTCATTATCCTTCGAGGCAAAAGATTTTGTTAAGCGGCTATTGTACAAAGACCCTCGAAAAAGAATGACAGCCTCTCAAGCTTTGAGTCAGTAACTCTTATATCTCCACAATCTTTCTTTGATTTATTCTCTATTTTATTTCATGACACACTTATCAGTTTTACTTGTACAATTTTCAGTGCATCCTTGGATCGCGGGTCATAAGAACATGAATATCCCATTTGATATTCTGATCTTCAGGCAGATCAAAGCCTACTTGAAATCTTCGTCTTTGCGCAGAGCTGCTTTGATGGTACAATTTTCTTGTAACCTGTTTTAATGTCCAAAAGAACATTAAAGAATGTGAATAAATGATTGATTTTTTGCTCCACATTTTATTGTTGATCCTAACTCTTATATTCTCTCCAGGCTCTGTCCAAGACATTAACTACAGATGAACTTCTTTATCTGAAAGCGCAGTTTGCAATCTTAGGACCCAACAAAAATGGCCTCATCACTTTGGATAACATCAGATCGGTATGTGCCTTGTCTCTCCTCTGTCTCGCTCTCTCACTCAGTGGTAGAAAATAAACAGCTCAAAGCTAGGTTCAATCTGTTTTGGACAGGCACTTGCTACAAACGCAACAGAGGCAATGAAGGAATCACGGATACCAGACTTTCTTGCATTGGTATTGTCCCGTTTCTGGTCTCGGCCTTTTGCTTAGTCTTAACTAAAATACAGTAAAACTAAAATACAGTAAAAGGTTGGTTAACAAAGTTAGTGTTGGGAAATGACAGTTGAGTGGACTTCAATACAAAGGGATGGATTTTGAAGAGTTTTGTGCAGCTTCCATTAGTGTTCATCAGCATGAGTCTCTTGATTGTTGGGAGCAGAGCGTTCGCCATGCTTATGAGCTCTTTGAGATGAATGGAAACAGAGTTATCGTCATTGAAGAACTCGCTTCCGTAAGTTTTTCCTTCTTCACTTGGGACTTTCTTTTTTCACAGAATTTTTCAGCATTTTTCAGTATCTAAAGGGAACACGAATGTCTTGTAGGAACTTGGTGTTGGATCATCGATCCCGGTCCATACCATTCTACATGACTGGATAAGGCACACTGATGGGAAACTGAGCTTCTTAGGTTTTGTCAAACTGTTGCACGGTGTATCTACTCGACAACCTTTAGCGAGAACACGGTGAAGAAGAAGGTAAATTCCGTGTTATGACGGATTCAAAGAGAGGAAAAAAACATACAACAGCGAATGGATGTCAAGAAGGTTACTGATTCTTGGATAGGAATTGTTTTCAAAGACCCATCCCAAATGTTTATAGTGTTAAAAAGGAATGCAAATTCCCTACAAAGAGAGAGTATCAAAAAAATTTCGGACAGGCCTCGCAAGTTGTAATAAGTTGATGATATTCCAAAGTGATTTTTTTCATTTGAGCGTCTCCACCTGCTTCTTACATGATAACAAATCGAGACAGGAACAGCAACAACAACCACAATGTCTCTACCTAGTGGAGAGTCTCTGATGCAAATCATCAGCCAAAGCTTGCCTTAAGCTCTCCCCGTAATAGTAGTTATGCCTCTCACCCTCCAAAACTCTTGCAGGTGATCCAGCTTCATCTGGATCTTTCCAAATCTCCGGCTCAGGTTCTCTAGCAATCTGACATAGATTATGCAACACACAACAAGCCACAATAGTCTGAGGAGCATGGTTCACTCCAACATTCAAACTCTGAAGAATCTTCCATCGAGCCTTGAGCAATCCAATAGCTTCCACCACCACTGACCTTCCTTTCATCAGCATTCCATCGAACAGATTCTCCGGCGGCGAACCTGAGCCGTTCGGTGAAAACGGTGTCATCAAAAAGGAAAGAAGAGGGTAACACCAGTCTCCTACAATGTATGGTCTCACATGGTGACCTCTAACATTAATCACTTTCTCCCACACAATGTCTCCTGAAGTAAGCCTTTTGTAGAGAAGACTGTCTCTGAAATGAGAAGAGTCATCTTCTCCGCCTGGAGCTTTCACGCACACGTCCCAAAAGATCTTCTTGTGATCAGCGACGACCTGGAGCAAAACGGCGTCGTATCCGTACTTGCTACTGTAAATGTTTCTAGGGTTTAGCTTCGTACGGCGTCTGAGCTTCACGGGAGTGCTGTCAATTGCGCCGCAGATGTTTGGGAGAGAAGTGAGCTCTTCGAATCCCTGAGTCGTCTCGATCAATCGGCGTTTTCCGACGGGGATCTTGATGAATTCCGGGTAGAGCTTGGTGGCTAGGAGGCGAGTGACCATGTTCGTGATCTTCGAGATGAGGTAAGGATCGAGGGAGTAGCGAGAAGCTAGGGTTTTGGCTGAGCAACCATGCGCGAGACGAGAGAGAACCATTGCGACGGCGTAATCGGCCGGGAGGGAGAGATTGGAGGCGGTGATGAAAGGCTGGAGCTTGTCGACGACGGTGGTGAAGACAGGGTACGAGAGTCCGTACAAGGAGCGCCAGCGAGCGTCGCGGAGAGGCGCGTCGAGAGCCCAGATGTGGTCGTTGGCTAGGGCACGGAAAGCGGTGACGGAGTAATCGCCGTCGGGAAGTGGCGGCGGAGGAGAAGGAGAGGCGGAGGATGAGGAGTCTCCGGAGTTGGTTGAAGAGGAGGATCTGGTGACGGCGAGGAACGAGAGGAGGGAAGCGAGGGTGAAGAAGAGCAAAGGCGCGGCGGAGGAAGAGGAGAGGAGAGAGGAAGGCGTGGTGGAAGACGGTGAAGATGTGGAGGTTGAAGAGGAGAAGATAGTGCTTGTGGGATCTAAAGAGTTTTGGAGATGTAGAAGATGCGAGAGCATCGCCATGAAAGCTTCTTCCATCTTCAGTCTCTTTCTTTCTCTGAGCCGAAGAAGAAACTTCTATGTGGAAAGTACAGAAGAAAGCGAAAGAGGAAGGCTTTTAGTTAAGTTTTTAAAAATTTGATTTTTTTTTTTTTAAAGAGTAAAATTTGGAGCTTTATCTGGAGCTGTTGTACAAAGGTAAAGTTGTAACTTTTAAGCGGAAATGATCCCAACAAGCACAACCATTATATTAGTCTGAGACCACACAAACCAGTAACCAAAATTTTTTGAATCTCCAAACAACGACAAGTCTATCAAAATCAAATCCATCTAACAAAATTCTCCTCACTGGACTACAAGTTTAGTTTTGACTGATGTGTGAATCAGAGAGGCTTGAACCACCATGTTGATCATGATCACTTGAGTCTCTTCAAGTCTCGGCAGGATAGGCGTTGGAGTCGTGGTGGTTAGCATATCCTCCATTGTTGTAACCTTGTCCTCGTGAGTATCCTCCATTCCACTGCTGTCCTGAGTCTCCTCTCCACTGCCACAAGTAGACAACAACACATTAACAAAATTGAAGAGAGACCTCTATTGGATTATATCAAACATACATGAAACAAGAACTTGATGACCTCAAAAGTAAACAGAGGAATGTGAGGGACTTGTAAAAAGAAGTTCTTGTTTCATGTATAACACATGAGAACAAATCAATATCAAGATTTGAGCATGTTCAAGGAATTGACAAGTTGGGCATGGAGTTCATGTGTTATATATTCCCCACTTGCATAGTCAAAAGAGAAAAACGAAGGAAGGTGATATACTCCACCACCAGCTATTGCCTATTGCCAACCACTAACTTTACTTTTTTATATACAAGTACGTTTTTAATAACAAGAGCAAAGGCTTAGAAAAAACCATTGTTAATCAAGTTTGACCCTATCAAAATACTTAATTTAGTCTTTACTGGTAGACTGCATCTAACTCCAAAGTCAAAAGTTCACCTGCTTGTTCGGGCTTCGTCCCCATGAGAGTCTGACAGTGTTCTTGCCGATGACTGTCCCGTTCAAACTCTGGATGGCATCATCAGCACTCTTCCTGTCAAAACCAAGGCAAGCCGCTTTGAAAATTAACCCACTTTAGCAATAAAGCACCTACACGGTCTTACGATTGACAAGCCCACACTTCTAGGTAAAGACCGCACCTGTTAGCAAATTGGACAAATCCACATCCTTTGCCTACTGGAATCTTCACTGACACAACCTCGCCAAACTGGGAAAAAGGTTGTCTGAGGTCTTCATCAGTAACATCAGGGTCAAGGCCGCCAACGAATATCTGCAGTAGAGGAATTAGAGAGAATGAGCACCGAGACAATACATAGCTTAAATTATGCTAGCAGGGGAATGGCTATGACAACTCACTGTTGAGTTGTTTGATTCGCCATCAGTCTGCGAGCCATGAGCCATGGAACCATTTGCTCCATGTCCACCAGCCAGTATCAGAGCTATTCCGATGAAAACATTAAAAAAACATACTTCAAAAAAGCTTTGTTGAGCGCATCAAGACTTATTAAGCTGTTAACTTTAAAGTCCTACGGATAAAAACTAGCTCCCCTCTCGCTATACGCTAGTAAACTCAATAGAAAGAATCAGAATAAAACTAGTTTGCGGTCACTAACCACTAACCAGGCAGAAAAACACTCAGAGAAGTATGAGAAGAAACCAAAGAAGAAAGGAAATATCAGTATCCAAATTGCAAGAGGATTATAGGTGAAGAAGATATGTCACCTTGTGAAGAATGTTGTTGCTGATTAGCAACCGCTCTTTTGGGGGTTGCAATACCTACACGCATTTGCCTGTTTGAACAGAAAGCTCCATTCATTTCTATCAAAGCCCTTGATCTCTCGTTTTCATCACCGAACCTAACAAAACCGTAACCTTTGGACCGGCCGGTGTTGGAATCGATCACAACTTTCGCGCTCTTGACAGATGGATATTTCTCAACGAACAACTCTTGCAACAAAGTGTCAGTCACATCCGGAGACAAATCTCCAACAAATATCGATAGCTCTGGACCATTTTCTACTGCTCTCTTTTCACCAGTACTAAAAGACGCCCAGTTTAGACGGAAAGGCTGCTCCGAGTTTGGCATCACTGAGCCACTATAGTTCTGAAGAACTTCTTCAGCTGCAGCACGTGAAAGAAACTCAACAAACCCATACCCTTCTGACTGACAAGTTAGCTTGTTACGAATAACTTTCACAGAAGAAACCTGCGCATCAGAAAACAATAATCCACAAGAAACAACTCAGAACAAGAACAAAGAGAAACTGGAGAAGAATATCCAAGTATGCTAAATGAAACCTTATCCATGAGAAGACAGCTAATTCAAGTATGATCTCTTTACATGCTTCACGTTTCTATTTTTTTCTCCTTACCAGAAAAGTTCATATAAACGTGGCAAGGTACTACAGTATATTTTGCCAAACGAAATCTGTCCTTTTCAGGTCAATGCTGTTTTCCATTTACCCTATTTGTTTCCACGAAAATTCGATAATCATTGGATCTGATCCAATTAAGCAGGTTCAATAACAAAAAAAATTCAAAAGAAACTTGCCAAAAAAAGTCCTTCGCTTGAAAACAGATCAAACACACAAGAAATTCAAGAACATGTCCAAGATCTGCAAACAGCTCCCTTTTCACCGAAACTTTCACGTAAAACCATTCCTTGACAAGAATCAAATTCGAAACGCAAATCCGAACAGAGGAAGATTCAGAAAAGTCTTGATATGTATATACCTCGCCGGTGTGAGAAAAGCAGGAATGGAGATAAGTCTCGTCCATCCAATGAAGAAGATCACCGACCCAGAGAGTCTTCACATCTTCTCCAGATCCACGCTCGTGTGGCTTCTGCTGCTGGTTGTGGTAGTTTTGCTGATAAGACGCGTATTGGAGCTGCTGAGGATGATGATAGTGACCTTGATTGTAAGGAACGTATTGGTGAGGATACATCATCATCTGTTGCTGCTGCATCATCATCATCGCCGCCGCCGGCGGATACTGCATAGCCGCCGCCGCCGCCATCCACTGTTGCTGCTGCTGCGGCTGCCACTGCTGGTGCTGAGGCGGAGGGGTCGTTTGATGAATCGGCGCCGTGGCTCCGGAACTTGCCAACGCCGAATCTGTGCCGTTGGTCGTCTGCATCTTAGCAATTGTTTTGTAAAATTTAAAAATCCGATCCGATCTGATTCTCCGGGGATTGGAAATAGAAAGAAAAAAATAGATTCAAATCTTTGAGTGTTCTTCTTCTTCTCACTATCTGCTTCCAAAGAAGTGGAAGTAAAGAGAGAGAGAGCTCGTTGAGCTCAAGTGATGGCGGAAAGAGGAAGAGAGAGAGGAGAGAAGTGGTCTTAAAGGGAGGCGGAGAGAGAGAGAGAATGTGGATTTTGGGGGTTTAAGGCTGAATCTATGGGTCTTTGGGAAGTGGCCGAAACGTGGGGCCCATTTTCTTACCGAAGCTGTGTGTGTTTTGAGATCGACGGCTCTGATTCCACCGCACTTAAGCAACTTACATTTATTTCTCCTTAGGGTTTTATATAATTAACTGATTAATAATAATCAAACTCACGAGGATTGGGTAAGAAAAAAAGCCATATTTACGTATTAACTGTTACTCTAGAAAACCTGTGTTTGCTTTTTGCTTTTTTTTTTGTCGATAGGAATTTGCTTTACAGTGAAACAAAAACAGAACGAGGCAAATAAATTAAGAAATAAATAGCTCGTGTACACACACACACAAACAAACAAAATCCCTGTACAGTCTTTTTGTTCTTTCGAAAATGGCAAGAACTTTCTTATATGGGCCCAATAGAGATATATAGACAGACTCATAACTAGTTTAAATCAGATGCCTTGGTTGGGCCAGATTTTCCATTTTTCAGGTCCCGCGGGAATTGGATTTGGGGGTTTAAAATCATGTCCAACGCAAGGTTTATAAGAGTTCAAACATGGGGTTTATAACATTTTTTGGATTTTATTTAATCAGAGAGGCCCACTTAAGTGTTGAACCCGTTTGGAAAGGTTCTAATATAAGAGTTTACAGAACCCATTTTTGGAGAGGTTCAAGAGCCACGTGGCATCATCGGATTGGTTAAAGGAATTTTTTTTTGGAGAAAACCTTTTTGGATCGTCTTTTTCCTCGACGACATCGGACCAAATTTCCTTCTTCTGCATCGTCTCTTCCATTTATTCCTAAGTGTCAGCTTTGCGTCGAGCCTATAGATCTCCGACTTCAAGACCTCGTCCAGATTCCAACCGCCGGTAAACACTACCAAGCTCTGTCCTGCGAGTTGAGTTTCGATCTCCGTCGTGTTCTTTTTGCCCTGGTAGAACGGCATGATGTTGCTAGAGCCGACGCTGATCTCCGTAGTAGCATCTACCTACCTCGATCTGGTACCGATCCGTCGATTAGGGTTTCAGATCGTGAAATTGAGGTCGATTGCGGTTGCCTGCCTCCCATGTGTTCGATCAAATGCCTCTGAAGAAAGTTTTTGTTTGTGTAAATGGTTTGAACCCCATTACGAGTTCAGGGTTGGAAACATAAAACATGTAACTTTTCAGCTTACAAAAAAATATTTAGAAAAAATTGATTAGAACATCATTGGGAGGTTCAGGATTGAACATGCTCTAAGGCTGAATCTATGGTCCTCGATGACACTTTCTTCAAAAATTGACAAAACAAAAAAAAAAAAACCAATCAAATGAGAAACTATGTATATCGGTCTACATTCTATATATGTTCTTTTTCTGATTTGGAGTTATAGAAACTATAAAAGACTAATCAAACATGATTTAAAGGACCCAAATGTTTTAAAAGACCAACATTCAATATCAATACATATTTTATACAGCGATTACAATTTACAACTGCAAACAATCAATCAACTTTACAATAAGTTATCAAACTCAAAACATAGCACGATCTTTATACAAATTATCCCTTAGTAATAGTAATCACCCGTTTTAAGATCCCATCATCATGTGATAGTGAGAACTTAGAGCAAACACTAGCTTTGTTATATAAGCTTCAAGTTCTCTGTATAGTCTACAAAGGTGTACGCTTTACGATTCACAAACCTTTGAAGATTAATTCCTTGAATTTCAACTCTTGCAATTGTGTTCTTCTCAGGATCATAGAAAAACACGTAGAAAGGATCGTTTGGTGAGTAGGGAGACAACAAAAATTCCCCTGAACTAGTCATTCCAGCAAAATATACATCAACCTTCTGAATTACATTCCTCCACATAGAAGGAATTTGATAAATCTTCATCAACCAAATATGTTTCTCAGGATCCACTAGAATCCACAACTTAAGAAATCCAAAACTCCCATCAACCATTTCATCATAATCAATCCCTCTTTTAGACTCAAGTGCACCTAATTTACCCTTGTAGTTTATAAGAGTCGAATAATGCCCTATTTTCAACTCCTCAGGTTTGTTAACAAAGCTAAACGTCTCTAACCTAACATCAAAGCAAACGATCATAGAAACCTCTGAATGTGTATCGGTCGCAGCTGGATAATACAAAACACCACTAATGCATATCCCATCATTGTATAAAAGATAATACGGTGAGCAACATTCGATCTTTCTCCATAATAGTTGTTGTCTTGTCTCTAATGTTAGAACATGATGATCCTCGTACAGATTGCGTGTTCCACAAGCTGGCCAGCTCACGCCCAACACCTTGAACTTTTTGTCGATGGGATCATACCCAAAATAGCGTTTCTCGTCGATTCTATCAAGTTCCAATAATGGTAAGATAATGGACTCTCCGGTACTAGGATTACAAATCACCGGAACAGTATACCTCCATCCCCGATCTTGAGTGCATATCTGTCCATTCACAGAGCGACAAATCCCAGAGGAAACATGGTGGGAGAATTTCGTATGATGATCTGCATTGGCTACAAGAGATGAGTTCTTGTCCGGTTTTTGGGGCTGAGATGACGAGAAGAAGAACAAGCTCTCGTCCTCGATGAAAGTGAACAAGAGCCGTGGACGAGACAAAGACCTTCTTAAGAACAACTTGGTGAAATCTGGACCATGGAGTATGGACTTCCAGGTCTTAGATACGCAACGAGACCTCGCAATTGATTTAGATGGAGTTCTTGAGAATATGTCGATTAGGATATCATGTGGGATCGTATGATCTCGTGAACTCCAAGATTGTGTGTCGTGTCGGGAGATTGTTAAATCCAAGACCTGCTGCTTCAGATTTTCCATGGCGACTTTTTCTAGTATGCCAGGATGATCTTACGCTTCACCCACGATCCATCATTTGCATCTATCGTCGACTTTGTAATAGTTTAGCATAATGAAAATTTCTTTATAAAGAAACTATGTCATTTAAAAAAAAAAAAAAGTCGCGTGACTTGTATAATTGCAAAATAGTACCTTGTTAGAAATATCCATGCATGAATACATATGGAGCTAAGCCCTTCATTTGAGATATTGTTGGGGCGTTGGGTTTAAGCCACCAGATCATAAAAAGTCTAAAACTATGCTCTTGAGTACTCTTAATTAATTTATTTATTTTTCGTTTTAGATTACATTTTGTTATAATACTGGGTTTATTTTAGAAAGAAAAAGTCATTTTTTGTTGATATAAGAAAGAAAAAGTCCGTTATAATCTCAAAAGACATATTTCCATGTATGATGTATCCGCGAAAAATTCTACGAACGCATCTTTATTAAACAAGAGTTATACGAACATATAAGTATAATAATTACTAAACCTAATAAATTAGGCGACTAGGCCTTATATATAAAAATATATCTTCTTGACTTATTGTCGAGCTCGCAATCTCCGAACAATTCCGGACAAACTCATAGCAACATGTATGCGAATATATTGCGATAATGGACATTACTGAATATGTGACATTCTTGACAAGGTGTTGCATCCAAAAATATCGGCTATATATATCCATTAGTTGGATAATAATCGCAATATTATACCTGGCCACGGATCTTTACCGCAACATGTCATCATACCTTGACCATTGGATTATCAGGTTGTGCTCTATCCGGCAACGGGCCTTGATTCGAGGATAGAAACATCTGCAGTTAAAGCGTTGAATCTTCAATGGAACGTTTATGTAACAAGAATGAATTGGAGAATGATCAGTGGATCCATCTTTGGATTCTTGCGATACAAGAAACTAACAAAATCGCAAGTCTGACCAATCATTGGCCAAATAACTAATGATATGGGATTCTAATCTAATCACATTGGCATTCGCCGATCACATCATACGGTTGCAATGTGTCAATTTTGCTAAAATTTGTGCGACATTCATCTTTATGTTTTTGTATCTTCTTCGTCTTCGTCAGATCTAATCGTCATTGATATACATGTACGACGTCTCCACACCATTGCTTGTCGTTGTCATCGGGAAACGACAAATAAATGTCCCAACGTAACGAAAAGAGAAACCCTAAACCTCTCTTTTCTTCACGGCGTACTTATCATGATCTTAATTCAAAAAGAGAGGACATTAATACTTCAAATCTCACACATTCTACAACAAACCAAAATTAGGAAAGTTAACGCTAATACGATTTTTTGTTCGGGAGGATCCTAAGACTGTATCATTGTAATGCGATAGAAAAACAGGATATATAAAGATAAAAAAAAAATTATATGAAGTATGATAGACCTTATAATAAAAATCTCTGAATCAACTTAGATGTCTCTAAAAGTTAGCCAATGATATATTACCGTAGTCGATCTCCGCAATCTCCATCAATCTATGTAAACTCCTAACAATCAATATTAGTTCAGATAGTCTAGCTCTAAGCTAACACATGTTATATTGATTTTGTCGTGGCTTCAAATAGAGCAAATTTTTAAAGTATAGTAAAAGTCACAATTAATTTATATCTAGATAGAAGAAAAACATTACTAAAACAATCTATAACAATATATTATCGCAAATTGAATAATATAGTTTTCCCCTCGGGAAAGGGTAATGTTTTTATTTTTTTTTCTTCTTTTTTTGTTGCCAACTGGTAGAGTTAAGGTATCACAAGTATGCGTGGAGTGAGAAGCGTATGGCAATGTTAGACCATCTCTAATGGTGAGAGATCCATAAGGGTTCTTATTTTGTTTTTAATATATTTTGTGTTACTTACACATATATGTATATTTGTGAGAGATTTTTAGTTTTTGAACGTTCAATGGTAAGTTTTTTAAACAGAATTTTCTTAAGAAAAAAAATTAATTTTTTAAATTATAAAAATATTATAAAGTTAATTTAATTTATTAAATGTTCTGAAATTTATTTTTTTAAATATTCTGAAATTTTTTTTCTTTCTTTCTAGCAATAATACCAGAATAAGAGAGATAGATAAATGGAAAAAAAAAATTCATCCAATCAGACCTTGCCATGTCATAGTCTCTCATGGGTCTCTCAGTTCCTCTCATGAGAATCGGTTCTTATCAATTAGGCTATTTAATCTTTTTTTTTTAATACCAAATTAACATGAGAAACAGACTCCATTGAAGATGGTCTTAGATCTTTTGTTTTTACTTTTTTTTTTTTTAATGAGGTATCAAATCAGGTGTAGAACACAACAATGTTCGACAAACGACATTTATTTCCACAATCCCAACACTCATTTCACTTTTTTAACCTATTCATCCTCTTCACTACACGTCTACAAAAGTCTACACCTATTTGTTTTGTTTTTACCAACATACAACACAAAAATGTTTTTTAATAAATATATACACATATACAAACACAAATGTATAGTGATATTGTAACATCCCGACTTTTGGTTAACCAAATATCGGATGTTACCAGTTCCTAATTCCGGTTTTATTAAATTAAACCATCTCTATTTCCTTTTCTATTTATTTCTTTTTTATTTGGGCTTTTCCTAATTTTTTTCTAAGAGCCCATTAAGCCCAGCCCATCTATTTAACCTCTATATAAATACCTAATTAAATCCCTAAAACTCTCATTAAGCTCCTAATAAACCCTAGCCACCTTTTTTTTCTTCTCTCTTTCTCTCCTCTCTGCGCCGAGCTGCTCCCTTCCTCTCTCTCTCTGCGTTTTCTTCTTCTTCTTTCTCTCGCTTGGCCGTGTCTCTCTCCCTCCTAGCCGCGGCCGCCGCGATCCTCCAAGCCTCTCTCGCTGCCGAAGCTCCCTTGCCCAGCTGTGATGTCTGCGCCGCCTCCTTCTCCTTTGGGTGAGATGGGAGTTGATTCTGATGGATCTCCTCTTAGATCTCCTTCTCCTTTGCCTCCTCCTCCTCCTGTTTCTCAGCCTTCTAAGCCAAGGTGAGGGCTCTGTGGCTTCATCCTCTCTTACATATGCATGGTTGTCTTTTAAGTGACCTTTTCTTAGATCAGGCTTAGATCTGCTTGTTAGGGTTGTTAGAATTGTTTAGGACCTGGATCTATGTTGCCTGTTTGTTGATGATTGTTGGTTGCTGGTGGAATGAGATAATTAACCTGAACTTGGATCTAAACTTATTGGACTTTAAAATATTGATTGTGTGATGTTAACCTGATTATTGTTCCTTTTTGTTACAATTGGTATCACCGAACGTGCATCTTAATTTAGCTCCGTTCTAAAGTGGTCGCGCCCGTTTTTGTTTTCAAAGAGAAAATTGTTTGCGAAAACATTTTTTTATTAAAATCTTTTTAAAATGTTTTCAAACCTAGAACAATCAATAACTTATGGACGCTGATCTTATAGTTTTCTCTATCCTCTTTCTTGTTTGTTGAGCCGTCCAAAAGGACCGCTGGGTACAGCTTTCTGGTGAGACCGCTATGAGCAGCCGTCGAGTGACCTTTAGTGTCATAGCCTGTCTCGGTGATTGCTGTGGATCAGTCTGTGTGACTGGCAGAGTAATCCTGACTAATGGGTATGGTAATAGGCCAGCCATTGGATGGGATTATTCTGGTTGCTTTCCGGGAGAGGCATGGGGGCCCATGTGGCAGTCCACTACTGCCGCGTCCAAGGACCCGTTTCTTGTGTAGTTGTTTGTAGGGTTACCCTTGAATGCTGTGTGATTGATTGCTAGGAATGAGTTGTCTATATATATAAGTAAATATATCTATATATGTGTTGCTTGGGCTTGCTTTAGGATTGGATCTCTTAAAACCAATTTATGCTAGTTTGATGATGTTGTGGGCCTCCTTAAGGTCCACCCTCACTGAGTAATCCCAATTACTCACCCCTCCTCTCCCCTTGTCTTTCAGGTTTAGTAGAGAAATCAACCTAAGTCTGTGTTGTTGATTGTTACCTGGGCGTTTTCCTGGCGATCCTGTGTGCTCACCAGATCGAACATCTTACCAGACATGGTTTGATGGTTGACCTAACATACCCGATTCCCCGCTTTCTTAGGAGCCTGGGATAGGGATGTTACAGATATGATGCATGCTCATGGTTTGTTATATGCAATTTTAACTAGCTATGGTTTCACATGATTATCATTAACGTACACACGTGTGGTATATCGCTTGTTTATATTGAAAAATCAGAAAGTGGGAGTATGTATGTATATGCGAGATGATCTGGGTACGTGGGAAAGGAGACATGGAGCGTGGACAGTAAGAAAAAGGCAGTTGCATTTGCATGATCACATTCTGTAAGGCAAAACTCCACGTCCATCTCTAGACTGATTCTCCCAGGATTTCTGATTTCTTTACCTTTAAAGATTCGCTTTTTCTCCTTTAATAACCTAATAAAAGAAAAACACTCTTTTTACGTATTTTTTTCTTTTATACTCGTCATTGATAATTTGATTTGTTTCTCTTTGAAGTTGGAACTCGAGCTTGCAAAGTAATTAGAAAATAATAATTGAAATACAAATGAATGGAGGGACAGAAGCACGTGGAGCCACGCGCCTTTGTCTCTGCTCTGTGGCTGTAAAGAAAGAAAGAAATGGTAAAAAGAGCGCATCCCAACCGAATCATGCAATGATGAGATTTTACCCTTTCCTACTCCCCTCCGATTCTCTTGCTTCCCTTTTTTTTTTTTGTATTTTCTTTACTTACTCTTTTTCAAACTAAATCCACGTTAATTTTTCGGTATTATTTCCTATGCGATCGTTAAAAATTAGTGAAAAACTCTATCATTACGGTAAAAATTCGTTTGGAAAATTCACTTTTGCTTTTTTTTGGTCTTATCTAATACAAGCCAAATGGTTTCTCACTGGTTGTGGACCCACGGTTAAGTTATAATAAGAGGCGAGGGAACGGAACCAAAACACAAAAAATAACAAAAACGGAGGGAATATTCCGAAATAAAAAGAGAATATTAACGAGAAATATATATATCTATAAGTTTTAGAGGAAGTACAAAAGACCAACTGTACCGTCATGTCTCATGGTGCATTTCCTCTTTTCTCCCACTTTCATATTTTACATTTTAGTTTCTGGTTTCAGATATTTTCGTAAATTGAGTACTCTATATAATACCTGGAAACACTATGAAACATTTAAATAAGTGATGTTCTTTTGGGAAAATGTAAGAATAAGAAGGACAAGAGACAAACAAAAATGTTGAGATAAAATATATTGTAATAAGCATCCAATGTTTTAAATCCAAAACAAGAACCACCTTTCCATATTCATGCAATTAAAACCTGATCACTCTGTCACGAATTTGCCTACACCATTTTTTATACTCAAATTTTTTTCAAAAAAAGTAAACACGAGAAACCCACGAAATCAAAACCCCAGACGAACTTTTAATTACCATCGTAACTAGTACTAATCAAAGGTTCGAAATTTCGATTTGTAATTTTTTTTTGTACGAACTAAAACTGATTAGAAAAGAAAAGAAAAGGAAGAGAGCTGTACAAGTGGACTGTAAAACAGAAAGAAAGAAAAACCTATTTTTTCTTTTCTTTTTCCTTCTTCGGTACTTCCATATGAGCTATTTTCTTCCTTTTTCATGGCTCAAGTCGATCCCACTTGTACCGACCTTCAAGCGGTTTGTCATTGACGATGTCGAAGTTGTACCTGTGTCAAAAAAGTGTTCGTTAGGATTCTTATTCTCCTTATGATGTTTGCTAAACTACGCAGCCTCGGATCAACTCTTTTTATCCTGCGCAGACATTCTTCCCCAAACCCAAAAGCGCACGTGAGACGAAATTTGAAGAGAAACTCACTTTTCTATGAATCGCTTCTTCTCTTCATTCTCTAGCTCCGAGAAAAATTCCTCAATCTCTGCCGGCGTCGGACTCTTGCCCACCTCCCCTGGTTTTCTCCGATCATCTCTATCCGTCGCCGATGGTGATTCAATCTCTGTTGTTTCCCCTAATGCCTCGCTCACCGGATTTTCCTCTTTTCTGCAAGGCCACGCAGAAAAAAACAAACAGAAACAGAGAAACAACGCAGAGATCAGAATGAGAGAAGAAGGACAAATAAATAAAATATAGAAAAAAACTCAAAGAGAGACTATGAACCTGAAATTGCTGATGATGAATGTTAAGGATTCGGTTTCCGAGATTTGATGAGCCTGAAAACAGGAAACGGGAATTAAAAAATCAATGGAGGTTTTGTTGTTATTGTTACAGATTAAATCTTTCTCGTTAAAGAAGCACAGTGAAAATGGAAAAACTGAGAAAAATGGAGTCAATCGATGATTGTCTCTCAAAAAATTTCTCCAAAATCAAAAACAAAAAAAAATAAACCAGAGACGAGCTTCGGATTTTAAGAATCGCACCTCCAGATCTACCACACACGTCGGGCTTTTCTTCGCGATTTGGTTCGATTCACTGTTAAAACAGCCGGAGCAGATGCTCAAGCTCTTGTCATCGTCTTCTACGGCGGAGGTAACAGAGCATCCACCTGGAGCTGATTCCGTCGATAAAGCGACGGAAGAAGAAGAAGGAACGGGGAGGATGACGTCACGAGAGTCCGTTGATGATGAATTATCGAGCTTCTTCTTCTTGAGAGGCGAGACGCTTTCGCTTGAAGCTTCGAGCTCTTTCGCATCTCGCTTGCACTTTGGATTTCTCTCGCTCATCTCTCTCTCTCTCTCTTACTTTTTGTGCTCTCTGCTTCTTTCTATTTCTGGTTCGCTGCTTATTAAAAGCAGGGGAGATTTTGGTGGGGTAGAAGTAGAGAGAGAGTGAGATGAAAGAATCATGAGCCGTTGATTATTTCAACGGATGAGATTCGATTCCTTGGCGAGCGGACGGAGTTTATGGTTATAGTCCCGTTTCGTGAGTGACGGAGACCTGTAACGGCGCCGTTACGGACTCTCGCTTTTTTTTTCTTACACAAAACGCCGTTGGGATTCGAAACGCGCTTTCTTTTTGCCGTTTTTGGCTTTCTTTCAAAACAATTAAAATCGTAATCATTTTCTTTTAGTTATGTCGTAGTGGAAACGTAACAATAATCATTTTTTTGTTTCCGGTTTGAAAAATGGATAATTAAAATTCCATCTATAAAGTTTTAATGTTTTATCTAGGAAGAAAGATTTACATTTGGTCACTCTCTTTGAATAAAGAATTTATAACTCCAATTAATGATTTACAATTACACCATTAATGATGTGACATATTGAAGGTATATATATGAGTGGTTGAGATGTGGATAGAATATATCAAATTACATCTTGATTCCTTCCATCATACGCGTTTTATCATGGGTTATATAACATTAGTTGGATGGATATGTTAACAGCGAGGAATAGGGTTAAAATATTTGATGTTAATTAACCATTTCATAACATTAAAAAGGATACACACAATTTTAAAACATGTATATAGCTCGAACCTTTTTTAAAAATCTTAAAATGGTCAAATATTACATGAAGTTAGCCAACCTCTACAAAATTCCTTACAAAATTCCCAATTAAAGATACTACTATAACAAAATAATGAAAATATACATCCACCATATAACAAATATTACAATTTAAAGACAATATAATAAGATACTGTTGTCGGAACATTTATTTTCGTTGCATTAATTTAACGTATTAGACTCACTCATCTAAACTCATGTTTTTGTTTTGTTGTATTCCAGGTTTTTAAAACTTAGTTTTTTTTTAAGTTTTCCATGTGTAAGTTTTTTCCATTCAAATACACGTCATCAACATATTTTGTCCTATACAGCATTTTTTTAATGACATGTTCTGCAAAATCATGTACATGTGTTTAAACCATTATAAGGTAGCGCAATAGAAGGTTGAGCTATACAAAGAATTCAACTATAATTTTTCTGTACACTTAACACCATAAATCAAGTCTCGTATTAAAGGGCAAAGATACAAATGGCCAGAATGGTTTAGATTAGTACTAATTCTTTATTCTTCCAATGAATTGGGACCATTTTGAATAATTTGTAGTAGTACAAAGAATCATCGAGTAAATGAGTAACTGATGCAACAACGAATTCGATGACCACGGCATTTATATACGGAAATATTAATAATTGCTCAACAATTATTTAATCAATATGAATTTTGCGAGTTATTTAGTTGTTTGTAAAAGTCCATGTTTCCTCTTTAGACTCTAGAAGAAAGTAATTGCATGAACAAATTGTAGTTATGTTTTTACTATAAGCCTGAAAAAAATTGGTTGTGAAACTAGATTAAAAAGAATTAAACAGATATAAAATCCGATCAAAACATAAATCAAACTAAAAAGGGGTAAAACATAGAAATACATTGCTACATTGAATGTATTGATTCTTGAGAGTTCTGTTGTAGTCAATTAATTGATTACAATAAAAGAAAAAGTCAATCGAGGAGAGTTGGAGTTTTCTAACAGATGAAAAGAAAAAGTCAAACAATGTAAAAATACACTTTTTAAGGGAATTTTTGACAGTGGACTGTTAGTTGGTGAGCCTTTTTTTCAGTTGGGGTCGGGATCTGTGTAACCGTCTCAAATCCCAAAATTCTACTTTTATCTTATGCTTCCTAATCTTTTATGCTCTTGGGCTCTTGGCTTTTCTTTTTAACAATTTACTTATTATTTTTTTTTGGTTTTGTTAAAAATGATATGTTGTTGTTTTGTTACAGTTACATAGATAAAGGACCACTGAATATACTCAGCAACTCATCTTTTTGGCTGTGATCATAAATTCACTATTCAGGTTCTTCTGAATCTATAATTAAATTAACCTGATTGTTTGTTGCCACTTACATTATCATATAATGATATTCCCTCTGTGCCTAAAACATTGATTTTGTAGATTTTTAACAAGAGTTGATAGAGCTATCGAAATTAACATCCTCCTTCGACCAATTAGTGTCGTGGCTTAGGTATTAAAAATTAGGTAATGGCCACATCAAAGTTAACAAAACTATAAGACCACATTTATTCCAAAAGTAATTAAGCTTTTATATATAGTTTAACATATGTGTTTAGCTTATCTGTTTGAAGACGTCCATAATCTTAAACATTTCCATTGGTATAAGAGAAATTAAACAGTTTGGTTATCATATTAATACAGAGAATTGATCAGAAATTTTGAATATGTAAATTTGATAAATGCTTTTGTAGAAAAAATGAGAAAAAATGTAAATTAGAATTTCTATATTATCTATTCTTTTTATCATTATTTTTGTATGTTTTAATTCAATGTTATAACTTTTTTTGTTATTTTTATAATAAATGCCACATTTTTGAAATTTGCCTAAAACCTCTATAAGCCTAAGCACGGCACTGCAACCAATTAGTTGTAATTAACTACTAAACTACAGTTACTTGGAATATCATATCATCTCAAACTAAATACTAGAGAAAAACAAGATTCAGAGGGGGGAAATGATATTTTTTTCTTTTTCTTATAAACCAAGTTCCAATTTTACATAAGCTAATTACAATAAATGATTTTACGGACGTTATTTAGCTTGGTGATAGAGACACAAAACATGGAGGGGGAAAGAAGAATATTAATGGGGAAAAAATAGCTTGGTAATGAAGTCACTCAACATATACAGCTCTGACTAGAGTATTGATATTGTTTTACTGCTTAAAAGGAACAAAAAAAAATATTCCCTCTCTCTTATGGTGCCTTAAACTGGAAAATTGGTGGGGAAATTGAAAAAGGAAACCTACCTAGTCTTTGAGCAAGAAGCGTTTCACAATCTTGACGCATTCCTCCAAAACGTTATTCTCCCAAACCTCATCTCTCAAGGAAGCCTTAAACGCCCCCGTAGCGTCCAGCCTCTGAATCTCCCAACCGCTGCTTCTCAGCTGCATGATCCTCTCTATCTGCTTCTTCGCAAGCAGCCACGTGTTCTCTTTGACCTCCTGCACTGCTTCCTCGTACGCCGCCTTTCTCGCTGTGTCCCACTCGCAAGCCTTGTCGTTATTATTATTCTCGGGCGGGTAGACTCGGAAGTACCAGTCAAACTCCGGTACTCCTATGGCCTTGTAAATCCCGGTTCGGTTATCTCTAGGGTTGTAGAAACCAGCTAGCTCCTCGAACATCCCTGACTCCATCATCTGGTCCACACGTGTTGAGAGGTAATGGTACAAAACCGAGACCGACACATCAACCCACAGGAAACAGCAATCGTACCTTCTTGACCAAACCAAGATTTTGATCATCCACACGAATCAAGTTTAAATACATGTGAAAGAGATTAAACTTTTTTAATTACAACGTTACATGTAAAAGTAAACTTCTCATTCCATTTAAAGATGTTTAAGTTTTTGAATTCATTTTTTACCAAAAAGAGAAGTTTTTGAATTCATTCTTGGAAAGGAAAGAAAAATTACATGCAAACGTTACATGTAAACATTTTTTACTTTGTAAGGGTTACATGTTACATACCTCAAATCAGAAGAAACCAACGATCCATAAACGAATGGATTGGTTTCAGGGTTGTAACGGTCGACAAGGAGGGCATGAATGAAAGAGTTTGATCCGCCGGCTATTATGGGGAGCTTTCCACGTGAAGCAATATCGGAGATTGACCGTGAGGCTAAACAGCGGAAGTTGGAGGCGGTTAGTTCACCGTAATCCGGAGGGAGATGGCCGAGAAGATGGTGAGGGACTCCACATCTCTCAAGGATTGTGATTTGATTCGTGGCTATGTCCAATCCGTTGTATACTTGCATTTTGTCAGAATTGATGATCTCTCCGGAGAAACGGGTTGCTAGTTCGACAGAGAGCCGTGACTTGCCTGTCCCGGTGGCTCCCATTATGACAACTACTTTCTCCTTTCGTTGTTTGTCCATGCAAACGGTCATGGGAACTACTGATGATGATCGTGGTCGCAGTCGAAGTTGCGGAGAAGTGGTCGGGAAGAGGGAACGAGAGACGAATGTAGAAGTGAGATCGTGCATGGTTATACCGATTATAAGAAGACAAAAATGCTGTTTCTGTTTTCTTTTCTAATCTCCTCTTTAGATCATCATTACCTGATCATGACTCCCTTATTAGTGGCAGGCTTTTATAATCTGAACAAAACAAAACAGGTTAAGTGAAACTGAAAAGTTAAATTAATTTGGTTAGATATGATACTGGTAGATTTGTATGCTGCTATAAATGAATATGGATTAACTTTGATTTTGTAATGAGTTATGCATTAATCGAACCAATGAGGTGGAGCTAACTGCTAAGCCCTTGAACCAAATGAGTGGCATCTGGCACATTTTACTGTTTTCTTATACAGAAATTCAATTTTTTCTTCAATTATGATTTTTTTTTAATTAAAATCTTAATGAGATATATTATCTTTTTATATAAAGCTGGATTTTTTTAACATGAACTTGACACATAAACAAAAGTATAACTCATGCAATTGTGACATATGTTATTGTTAATTAAGATTGCCATATATGTCAATATAATAATATAAATTTTTTATTTTTAGTTATTGACTTCGAAAAAAGAAAGAAAATATGAAAAAATGAAAAATACTAAAAAAAACTGAAGGAAGTGAAAAATGGAAATTGTTTATGTTATATGGAGCAATTTTGAATTTTCTTAATTGTGAGTTAGAAAATCTAATTATATGGATAATAAATATGAGGGTTATCAATTTAGAACATAATATTTGTGTATCACGAGAGAATATAATAAAAAATACGAAAAAATAAATAAAGAAAGCACTACTGTATGAGAAGTAAAATATGAAAATACTCATAAGTATATGCTGCCTATTGGTAAAACAACACAACTAAGTCCGGATGTTTCACATTGTGTGCTTAGTCTCCTAAAAACTTGCACAATAGATATAGAATTACATAGAGTACTAAGTAACTAAATACAATGGATATTGACATGATCAATATGATAAATAAAAGCTGCATGCGTGCTATGTATATTTAATTATTAGAAGATCTTTAGTAAGCAAAAACACAAGTGAAGAGATACCTCGGATCTGAGAAAGTTATATAATTTGATCTCCAAAGTTCGATCGATGCTTCCTCACAAGGGCTTTGTAGATTTTAGGGTTCCCAAATTGAAAACAATCTATACTGTATATACTTTCTTTCTTTCTATTTCCTTTTTGAGTATTCCAATTTTTTCCATTTTGTATTATTTCTTTTCTATTTAAACTTAAATCACGCCATTGTGAAGTGAAAAATGTAAATGGGGTGATGTATATGAATGTATAAATATTACACCAAAATGGAAATTTTACTACACTTTTTGTTTGTCGAGGAAATTTTACTACACAAATTTGAATAAAATGGGGGAAGAAACATATAATCGAAAATCTACAAAACGCTAATATCTAAATTTATTTTTATTTACTAGATTCTGACAGGCATGAAATGCAGACTATTAATATTTAAATGATACATACGATGTGATTTAACGTAAAAAAATGATACATACGATGTGACATGCGTACAATATGCATCGATCACCTATCCTTGCTTGTGTTTTCTCCACTTGTGAAATGTATTATAACGACATCGACAACTGTTACTCTAAACTGTAGTCTAATGACAATGATGAAGCACAACCGATCCGGTTATTGCGTTCAATGGAGAGGAAGGCTTTGGTCGGTACTTGGGTTTGCATGATCATGTATAACCATTACATCAACTCCTAATTTGGGGAAAGCTTTACATTTCTACTTTTATAAAATTCAACCATTAGTCATCTTTTTGTTGTAGTCGAGTATCGTCTCTTTTTCATAATCTTTTCCCACTAAAACAGTTTTTAGTTTTCACAGATCCAATTTGGATAGGGAACCAATATATAACTATAAGTTGAAGGTGAAATTCTCCATTTACTGTGAAAACTCATAATGGAGAAATCAAGACAAGTCTCTAATGAGATTCTCAATCGTATTATTGTAGTGATTTCTCAGCTTAGAGAGCTTTCTTAACCTCGAAAAAGTTGGAGCGTGCATTGTTTGCCGCATCAATGTCTTCTGCAGATGCCACAGCCACCGCTACACCTTTATCTCTAACCACATCTATCGCCTCTGCGAAATCCTTGAAGTCCTTCAAACTGTGGAACAAAAAAAGAGAAATTAGAAGCAAATCAACACTTTCTTATCATATAATATTATAGAATGCTAGAGAGAAAAACACGTCTTTAATTAACCTTGTTGTTAATATCTCTTCACGCTTCTTTTGTCGTTCTTCATCAGTTACTCCAAGTAAATGCCTCAACAAACTGGGTAAAAGAGATTTGACAATTTTTGATTCAGAATCAGTTATGTTCTTTCAGATAGCTGCCGTAAAGAGATAGAAAAGGAATCCATTTACCTGCTATAACCTTTGGCATCAGGTAATTGGTATGAATCAACATCACCAATGGTTCCAATAATAGCTTTAGTGAGTGTCTCTTGATCCACATCAAGTCCACGTAAGAAATCTCCAGTTCCATCATATATGTCAAGTGTCTTCAACAAGTTTGGATCCCGGTACGATAAGAACGAAAATACTCCTGAAACAAAGAAAGTTCACATACGTTAGGACAACTCCTTTTTTTTTTTCTTTTTGCATTGGAGGCAGAACGTAAAAGCAGCTTTTTTTTTTTACCTGAATGCGAATCGAAATCACAGAAACCTCCATATGCACCACCACTTACACGAACACGATCCCATAACCATGTATTGCTAATATGCTTTGATATAACATATGCACTGCCATCAAGCTCATACCCCGTGCTGTATATGTTACCCGCTTTTCCAACATAGTTTACCTGCAAAGAGTGTATGAAATCAAAGTTCACTATATAATCGAAAAGCCTAAACCCAAGCACATTCAATATAAAACAGTCTTCTTTATTTACCTGAGTTGGTATTACGATGGCTTCATTTCTCAGAGGAAGTCGACCATCCCAAGTGACAAGCCCACCAGATGGGTTTTCAGGGAGTAAATCTAGGAATTTCTCAACAGATTTTTCGACGTTGGTGAGAGACTTCCCATCTGCAGTCATATTAACTATGCTACCATTCCTGGCAAGGAGAGATCTTCTGATCTCCTCGAGTGAGGATGAAATTCCTTCCCAGTCTTCATCCAATTTCTTTTCAAGAGTACGTAAGAACTCAAGATAGCTACAAAAGAGAGATGCTCAACTTTGTTACGTTTTATGAATTAAGTTCCTTCTCAGTAAGATCAATACTGAAGAAAAGATAGGATATAAACAAGTGGTAAATAAATAAGTCAAATCTAGTTGTTATCACGTTCCAACCTGAGACCACCCATCTGTTCAGACATCCATCCAGCAATGTTCAACATTGCATCCATCCTCGCTGCAGCAATTCCATGACCACTTCCCCTCAATCGGTTCTACATTGAATGAGAAATGATGTTTACACTACTACTTTCAAGTTCCACTTATCATGCAAAATGCAGAAAGAAAAATCCTACTACTTACCTCCATCCGTGCTATGCTTTGAGAGACAAACTGTTTAAACCGCTGCTGATCTGTAAACTGAACCTCTTGCAACAAGCAATTCATCTACAGCAAGACAAAATGCAATGAAGATTAGAGCCAACCAGTAACTTCGACAGAGACAAAATAAAATATGGGACATGCATTGCAAGGGAGTTGAATAATTTCTACACTCTACAGTTGGACCATGTTTCTGATTCATGAAAGGCATTTATGAATTCGCAAAGTTCTTATATCACCCTATTTCCACTATCTGTTTCGATTTCAAGGTTACATTATATCTGATCTGATAAAACCAGTTTTCCAGTCAGAGCGGTTGTGTACCATAACCAGGCTCATAGTGAAGACACAGAAAACGCATTAAGTACATCTTAGAGAAGAAAGAGACTCGGGGAAAAAGATGAGGGAGGCAGCTATGCATTTCGGAAAAGAAAAGAAAAAAAAAAGAGACAAGAAATTTGCTAAAATACAAGCGAACAGGGCCATGCAACAGAAGTTAACAGCCACACTATATCTCTGGGGAAACCAAGAAAACAAGATCAATCAGATGGACAGCTCACAAGTCTACGCATTCCATATCCCAACATATACAAATCTAGAGAAATGCGATAAGTTAAAGTAAAGCATGTTAAAAGACATAATACCAGGTTAAAAAGGTCTTCAGCTCTCCCAGCCATCGATTTTCCACGTACAATAATTTTGCTGCATGGTTCACTCTTGCCCCTCACAGATGATGTAAGGGGATAAACTGATATTCCTCCCGTTTTCCTTCCAATCAACTGATTAAGTTGCACAAAAGTCAAATCTTTTGTGCCCATCTCCAGTAATGATTGACTGTCAAAAGACATATTCTATCAGAATTACAGTTTGAATATAGTATGAAGCAACATTCTTCATTTAACAATTCCACCATGCACATTTCTGAAAAAACATAGTAAGAACCGAATATCATAAGTAAGCTTAAATCATACCAGAACAGTGGTACTAGTGGAAGAAGCTCATGTTTCAGCGAACCCATATCAAATACTACTTCAGCGTAGATAATATCATTGGTGAAAAGGTCATGCCGCAAAACCTTCACACCGTTAATATCTCCAACCTATTGTTTAAAACTTCATTTCAGTGAAATTCGCAAGCTCAGGAAGTGTAAGAAAATACAACAAAAGCAACGGCTAGCAAAATGGTTACCTCAGTGGGAACATAGGTAGGTTCTTTTGGAATGTCACCCAAGTTCAAACTTGGGACACATCTCAGTGCTTCAGGAGGGTCAGGAGTCTCTTGTTTCAATCTCAGCTCCTCCGTAGCACGCGCTAGCTCTGCAAGATCTTCTTCTGTCATGCCTGCTTTAACTTTTTCCAGGATACTTTTCTCTTCCGCTTCCTCTTGAGAAGCATATTCGGGATCAGGCTGACAAAACTAGCTTTTAGCACAAAACAAAAGAGACATTACATAGCAATGAGAAATATGTAAAAGAAAAATACCTGCATCTCTATGGTAACACGATGTGAGTTGTTCAAAATATACTGCTCTATCAGAGGGGAAAATACAGCCTTGGATCCCTCCTCAGCTATTCTAGTTTTCAGGGCCTTCAATGGCTCCGTGTACTTTAATGGCTCAAAAGGATCCATATCGTATATCCATTTTGCCTAAACAGCCAATAATCAATTAAGGAGTGATACCTAAATAGACAGACACACGGGCATAAAAAGGCATATAAACTTACAATAGATTGGAGCATAAGTGATAGACCACGCGGGAAGGATCCTGTGTTGTTTTCCCTCAGAGAAAACTCAATTGTGTTCATGGATGCCTCCACAGCATCATTATCAAACCCTTCTTCTGCCAACTTTTTCAAAGTATTCATGATTAACTCTTCAACCTTTTGAACATTATCTTCAGACACTCCTTTCAAACCAATACTGAACTGGGGCTGCAAAAGTTCGTCTGACATCCCACTACTGACAAGAGCTTCTCCTAAACCGCTTTCCAATAAGATTTTTCTTAGTGGCGAAGCAGGAGTCCCCAGCATAAGATGATCTAAGAACCCAAGTGCGAGTTGAGTTTGCAAGTCCAAGGGCTTTTCAGACAATAGCCAGTTAACGCACAACATGTTCTTCTTTTTAAGGTCACCATCTCGACCAGCAGGATATTTTTCTACCAGTCTGATAGGCTCAGAGAATAGCTTTTGAGGTTCAATCTTTGAGCTATCTGGAGATGGACTTTCTTCGAACATGTCCAAGTATTCTGCACATATAAGAAAGGCGGAGATGAGATGTACTTCAAAATCGACATAGACGACAAACTTAGACTAATAACAGGATTATTTCTAATAAGACGAAAGGAGTTTTATTGTTTACCACTCAAGACACGAAGGCGATGAACTGGATCATCATCTCCATAGAACCAGATTCTGGCATTGCTTGGGTGATAATACTTACGGTGGAACTCCTAAAATTTTCCCATAACAAGAAATATATATACTATGCATCAGAAGTTATACATCACGCTCGTTTAGCCACTAGCATAATAATTTGACTTTTAACAAACCTTGAATTCCTCGAATGTCAGCTTAGGGATAACTTTTGGATCACCTCCACTGTCAACACCATATGTATTTTCTGGGGATAAGGCCTAATAAAAGTGAAAACAGTAGAAGTTATTTCATCAGAACCACTATATCAAGGAAATATGACCTCAGATGATCTCACGAGGTTTTCAGGATCAAGTATCCAAGCGTCATTTTAAGAAAGATATGCTTATATCTACAACGGCTACATCATTTAGTTGATTAATAAGGTCAAATACAAACATATGATTAAACTTCAGCTTCAGAATTTCTAGAAATTCAAACCTGATACAAATGCACAATGCAACTATGAGTATGTAATACACGTATAATCAGGTGGATTAGAAAACATTCAAGAAAAACAATTGGTAAACTAATTCAACAGCAACTCCACAGAATAAGGTAATGAGCCACTAGAAGCCACTACACGAATTTACTCTTAAAAAGAGATTTCTCGAGAAACTGTCAGTTATAGTAAACAAAACCCAAAACTTGCCTGTTGAGCAATTCGCCCTAAAATATTATCAGGCTGTGAATAGACACCTTTCATCTCATTAAAAACAACACCTGAGATCAAGCATCAACGATGAGTTAGGATGAGCGCGTATATGAAGTAGTAGATAAACAAAAATATAGCATCAATACGAAGACACTAAAAAAAGTAGAGGAAAAGAACTCTAAAATGGCATCTTTTGTAAATAAAACCTTTATAAGATATGTCTTCTGAGGGGTCATTAAGCTCATAGTGCCAGCCCTCTTGCTGAAAAGTGTGAACGTCATCCACACACTTGGGGAAGAAGACAGCATCCAAATATACATCGACAAGATTGTAAAAATCCTACCATTGATAGCGAAGAATATGATCAGACAAAATCTAAATAACAATTACAGAAAGAAAGAGGCTAAGCTCCTTGAGAACAACAAAAGTAAGTACTTTATATTTCGCTTATTGTACCTTTGTATTTGTGGAAGCAACTGGGTAACAGGTCCTATCAGGATATGTGAATGCATTTAGAAAAGTATGCAAGCTTCCCTTAAGTAGTTCAACAAATGGCTCCTTTAGCGGGTACTTTCTTGACCCACATAGAACGCTATGTTCCAGTATGTGCGGAATGCCAGTGGAATCCTTCCTGCATTAACAACAAAACTATTATCAAAATCATTTCAATTACAGGTTTTGCAAGCAACTTAAGATCCATTTGACAAGAAGGTCTCCTGTGGGTGCAAATATTAAGTAAAAGTAAAATTGTTCAAATCGTCTTGATACAACGCGTTGACAAATCAGACAAGTTATTGACCTCCATAGTTCAGAACATTTTACAAGTGCCAATAAAGAAGAAGAGGAAACCAAAGACTTGCCCAATTTTTTTGTAGGACTAATCCAATGAACTGCGACCTTTGATGTGCAGTAATCAACTTGACGATTTCGATTAACTAAATTCCAAGAGTGAAGAAGCAATAGTTACCAATTCCAATTTCCTAACTAATGAAAGCAATTGCCAAGCTGGAATGGTTACCTAATAATGACTCAAGTCACCTATATAAAAAGACTAGAAACTATGTATTAAACTTACGGCGGAGTCCTTAAAACAATGCCGAACACCTTGTTCTCATCCTCATTTGACACAGACATCACCTCGCAACCAGTTTTCTTGTGTTTGAAGAGAATCGCCTTTGATTTACACTCTGAGATGAATTCTTCAGACACTTTTTCGAATCCAAGCTTCTCAGCCTCATCTTGGCCTACATCTGAATCCCAACAAAAAAAAAAAAAAAAAAAGCCTCAGCACAGCTTATCCCATTTAATTAAAAGCATATACATCAAAGCATGAGAAGAAAAATGATAGAATAGAAGACAATTCCGAATGTTCTCAAAGGAAAGGATTAAGTGTGAAATTGGATATTACAGTATCATCAACTAAACAAGCTCACAAAAGAGAAACAATCTGAATTAAAACTAAGAGACGAAACTATCCACCAATCGAACTTCGCAGAAGAGAGCACAGAGTGAAAATCCTCACCGGGATAAGATGGTGCGGGTTGTGTGGCGACGGCGCGAACAGAGAGGCGAGATAACTGTCCATTGACACCGCGACCTGAGGCGGAGGGAATCCTCAAGCCTCGTCGGAGCAAGAGACGTCTTCCGGCGGCTGAAGGAGAGGAAATCCGGCGAAGGTTGCGACTGGGGCCACGGAGAGCGGCCGTAGACGATGACAGTGAGAAGTAAGAGCGAGGGAACTGGCGAGAGAAGCGAAATAGGAGAGAAGCAGAGCTGAGCGAAGCGGAACAGGAGACAGTTCGGAGCATGGCTACCGGAAAAATATTTCCCGGCGAATACTACTACTGTCGGAGACGAAAAAAGGATATGCAAATAAACCCAACTTGAAGAGGTGTTTTATCCTGTGTGAGGAACAAGTAAAATAAAAAAAAATAAAATGTATCATTTCTTGTAGAACACACAAATTTATTTACGAAATATTGTATAGTTTATTTTAAATGGCACTGTTTTTTTTATATAATTTTTTTTAAATGGCATTGTTCTGAAGCTCTCTTTTTAATTAGTACGTAATTTTAAGTCGGGACAAATAAGAGGTTCTGATTTGCAAGAAAAGAAACGTGGTTCTCGTATAGCCAAATGTGTTTTGATTGCTGCGACTTGCTATCCTCCAAAAATCTATAATGACCAGAAAATATCTTAATCTTAAATCTTGGTGCTTTTTCAAATCTATTATATAACGAGAGACTTTTCTCTCCATCTAGGATATCAACATCAACATAGAAAAACAAAACTAAAATTAATGACTTAATTAATTCACACATTTTAAAATATTATTATTTTCATTTAATAATAAAAAGAAAACACTAACACTAAATTTAGTGACTTAATTAATTCACACATTGTTTATAATTATTATTTTTATTAAGAAGAAGAAAAAGTAAAAATTGGGAAAAACAATAAAAAGACATAGTTAAAAAAAACGAGGATGAAAATAAAAATCATAGACGATGAAAAAGAATAAGAACAATAGGAGGAAGAAGAAAAAAAAATCAAAATATAAAGAAAAACATGTAGATGGAGATAAAATAAAGGAAGAAGAATACATACACGAGCTAAGTAAAAATAACAGACGAAACAAAATCAGAAAAAAAAATGAAAAAAATATCGAAAGAAAAAATAAATAAAAAAAAGTTGAACTGTTCTAGGTATTTAGGCTGTTGACAATAGAAAAAAAATAAAAATAAAAGATGAAGAGGAAGATGAAAGAAAAAAAAGAAAAAAAAAAGAACACAAAACTGATAAAAAAGAATTTTAAAAAAATACGAGGACAAAAATGTTGAAGATGAGAAATAAGACAAAAAAAACAAACTATGATAAATGAAGATACAAAATGAGTCTAATAAAATTAAGAACAGTAAAAAAATAAATATAATTAATTAACTGTTTGAAAACGAAATTCTGCGCAACGACGCGGATTATAAATCTAGTTTAAATAATGAGTTGGATTAGGTTATCCATTTTAAGATTATATCACACTTACTCATAGAGGTTTTACTTTTTTAAGGTCGATTTGTGCCATGAGTGGTGGTAAAAACCAAACCTGGTCATTTCTTCTCGCACATTAATTGTGGGCTGGAATAAAGCCTGAAAAAACTGTATAAGGCCCATGTTCAGGGACGAGCGTGGATTAATCGAACCGAGAAAATGAATTTCCAGATGTTTCTTTGTTATCTACGTGACGTGACCAGGTCCCGTCTCGTTCCTGGATTTACAGAGCCTCTCTTTTGTTCAGCGACTTACCTTATCGTTTAATCAGAGAACGCAATCGCTGTCTAAAACTCATAAGCCTTACGACCAAAATTCCCCGATTTTCTCTCCGCTATACCTTTCCCCTTGAGAAATCCAGTAAACCCCATTACTGTACCATGATTCTACCTTCACTCTTCTCTTCCTACTTCTTCTTCTTCTAGGATTCTTCTTCTGGAGTTGCTCAGCAATGCCAGTGGCCTACACATTTCCAGTTCTCCGTTCTTCTTCTCTGCTTTGCGGAGTCTCTAATCGCGGCACCAGCATCATCGTAGATCGCCCGGAGGTTCAGATCTCAGGTTTTGTCGTCGTGCGTTCTGAATTCGGAGATTCCTGCGGTCTTAGCTGCTCTTTCCGGCGGTTTCAGCGGGAAGGACGGAGGTTGAATGCTGCTGGTGGTGGTACACATGTCGTCGATAATGCGCCGTCTCGTACTTCTTCACTCGCTGCCTCTAGCTCTACAATCGAAATCCCGGTTACGTGTTACCAGGTATTATGCTCTGACTGGCTTAGTCTTCGAAATCGATACAAACGTTAGTAAATGGAAGCTGAAGTGCAAGTGGAAGCTGTTTTTTGGTTTTACCTTCTAATTTTGGTTGAAATACAAGTTGGTGTTAGTCAGTGTTGAGAAACTTTCTCCTCAAAATTTTGCGGGAATTTAGTCTTCAGTGCGTAGAAACGAGTTGGATGTTTTTATTTGGCTTAGTTAATCAGAAAAGGTTGGCAAATTGTCTTTGAATAATCGTTGATTTCTGCAATGGAATGTATGTATGGTATGTAGCGTTTTGTTTGTGAAACACTGTTCCAGGATTATATATGCTACTGGTAATGGTTTTGAATTTGCAGCTTATCGGAGTTTCTGATCAAGCTGAGAAAGACGAGGTTGTTAAGTCAGTGATAAATTTGAAAAAAGCGGACGCTGAAGAGGGTTATACAATGGAAGCTGCTATAGCTCGCCAGGTTTAGACCTACGCAGAGTTTGATTCTGTTTCAAGTGCTCCATAGAATCTGACCATTTTTATCACTAGAGCTAGACAGCGAATATGCCTTTCGTTTCTTGATTCGTTGTTCTCAATGATCCTAATGTGCAGGATCTTCTCATGGATGTTAGAGATAAACTTCTCTTTGAACCAGAATATGCTGGTAACATAAAAGAAAAAACTGCTCCTAAATCTCCTCTCAGAATCCCATGGTCATGGTTGCCTGGTGCTCTATGCCTTCTTCAAGAGGTAATACTACTGACCTGTTATGGTGTTTTGTACTTTCTCTTTCTGCATTAATTATCATTTCTATCGAGTTATCAGCATCCCTCCTCTTTTAAAGGAAATTTTGATTTTAAACATAAGCAGATACTTTATTCTTTTCTGTCTCAATTTTGGGCATTTGGAAAGAAGATAAGTGGTGATGTGACCTACTGTGCTTCAGGTTGGACAAGACAAGCTCGTGCTGGATATTGGTCGTGCTGCTCTCAGACACCTTGATTCGAAGTCATATATTCATGATATATTTTTATCAATGGCACTAGCTGAGGTAAGATCAAATGAACGAGGGAACTACTTACCAGCTTCCACTAACCCTCTGATTTTCTTCTATTTCTAAAATGATTTTTTCCATGAAGTGTGCAATCGCCAAGGCTGCTTTCGAAGCTAATAAGGTCTCTCAAGGATTTGAAGCTCTTGCTCGTGCCCAATGTTTTCTGAAGAGTAAAGTTACTCTTGCAAAACTTGCATTGTTAACTCAGGTAATATCTGTTCTGTTGTCTTGCATCAGTAAAGATAAAGTTTCTTTTTATTTACTCTTAGTTCTCTCACTGGAAGTGCATTAGCATGCCTCTTACTGTAAATCAAATAATGATAGGGAGCTTCATATATAAGTTCATATTTTCCAAAGACATAATATACCAGCATATTGGCTTTTAAGTGATTTAAGTTGAAAAGTTTAGATTGAAGAGTCATTAGAGGAGCTTGCACCACCATGCACATTGGATCTACTGGCCCTGCCTTGCTTGCCAGAAAATGCAGAGAGGAGACGAGGTGCAATTGCTGCGCTACGTGAGCTTCTCAGACAAGGCCTCGATGTTGAAGCTTCGTGTCAAATTCAAGACTGGCCATGCTTTCTGAGCCAGGCAATTAGCAGGCTATTGGCCACAGAGATTGTTGATCTTCTTCCATGGGATAACTTGGCCATTACACGGAAAAATAAAAAATCACTCGAATCCCACAATCAACGAGTGGTAATTGATTTTAATTGTTTCTACATGGTGGTGATTGCTCATATCGCTGTTGGATTTTCAAGCAAGCAAAATGATGTGGTATATCTCATTTTCTTTCCCTTCGTAAATTTAAACCAATCGGTCCATTACTTCTCTTTTATACCTGTTTATAAAGCATAATATTCAGTATGCTTGTGTAGATTAATAAAGCAAAAACTATATGCGAATGTCTCATAGCATCAGACGGTGTTGATCTAAAATTTGAGGAAGCTTTTTGCTCATTTCTTCTAAAACAGGTATTTTTCCCTCTTGCATTTTCTATACGTTAGTCCCTTTTCAACTGTATGTTGTTGCGTCTTATTTACTTCAAGTTCACTTGCTTCGAAAGATCCATGCGTTGTACATTTAGTTAAGTGCTACTGGACCTACATGTTGGATAGCACAGGGTTCCGAAGCAGAGGCCCTAGAAAAACTTAAGCAGCTGGAATCAAATTCAGACTCTGCCGTTCGTAATTCGATCCTGGGGAAAGAGTCGAGGAATACTTCTGCTACTCCATCACTGGTAAACTTAATGTTTTTTACCAAAGATTTGTGTGTCCATTTGTTGCTAGCACTAGAGCGGACGTAATAATTCCTGAGTTTAATGGCATGATCAACATTATGAGTGAGGTTGAGATATGTTCTTAGGCACTGACTGAAACAATGAAAGTAGATAGGTTGAGTGGGTGGTAGTAAAATTCAAAGAATAATCTTTAACAGAATTGTGCATTCCTGCCATCAACTGTCGTTTTTGTTGCTTGTATTCACGCTTATTCTTAAATATTTTCTTGGTAGGGCTCATGCAATAAATTTAATGTGGAAAGTATGACATCTCTTCTTCAGCTCTGATGTTTTTAACAAAGATTAATATCGGCCGTCTTACATACTTCCTAATAAAATTGACCAGGAAGCATGGCTAACGGAGTCTGTGCTTGCTATCTTTCCGGACACAAGGGGTTGTTCTCCATCTTTGGTAAGAATTAGATTACTGGCAGATTCTGTATACCAGCTCTCCAATTAAGCAGAAACATATTTATATATAATATATACAACTTTCTGCAGACCAACTTTTTACGGGCTGAAAAGAAATATTCAGAGAACAAGAAAATGGGGTCACCTCCAATAATTAATCACAAGACGAACCAAAGACCACTTTCCACTATGCAGTTCGCTAACTCGTCACAACATCTCTGTACAGCTGTCGAGCAGTTGGCAGCAACAGATTTGCAGAGCCCAGTGGCATCAGCAAAGACTATTGATGAAAGCGGTTCCAGTAGGCCATCGGTTCAACTGAAAAGGAACCTTGGTTTACAACAAAATAAAATATGGAATGGTTGGCTCTCTCAGAGCAGTTTGATCAAAAGGGTATCTGTTGTTGCTATCTTGGGTTGCACCGTGTTCTTCTCTCTAAAGCTAACAGGCATTAGGTCTGGTAGATTACAGAGTCTGCCTACATGGGTTTATGCAAAACCGCGCTTGGAATCAGATTCTGGGAATTTCAGAAGAAACCTTGCTTCTGTGAATAGAAATGGTGTCGTGGGCAACATCAAAACACTAATGGGCATGTTTAAGATACATCCGGATGCCTTGTATCTAAAAAGCTCGGGTCAATCAGCTACATTGTCTCATCCCACGTCAGAAGTGCACAAGAGACCAATGCTTACAGAAGACGCGGAAGAGCTCGTGAGACAGTGGGAAAATATTAAGGCTGAAGCTCTTGGACCTACCCATCAAGTTTATAGCCTTCCTGAAGTCCTTGATGAATCCATGCTTGTCCAGGTTACCGTTTCTCTACATTTACTCTGTTTCTGTACTTAGTTGAATTAATTACAACATTTGAATGCCAATCTTAGTGGAGTAGAATCAATAGTTCGACTAGGTCTAACTAAGATCTAGAAAGTTATTTTTGCCATAATGAAACATGATATCTTACCTATATGAGGGAGAGGGGATGGATAAACCACTTATTAAACATTAGGTTAAAATTTTCAACCCTGATTAATAATGGGATGAAGCCTAAGCAGTCCTGGATATAGGCCGGAGATCAAATCTTGACCTCTAGGAGAGAAAGCGCTCGCTTAGCCACTAGGTCAAGTTTGGATAATTTTTGGCCTGTTCTAACATAAGATCGGATTCTACAGTGAAGTGTACGGTAATGATTAGGGTTTGCTCATTCCTTCTTATCTTTTTTTCCTCGGGTAATGTGGACTTTGCAGTGGCGAACGTTGGCACAAACAGCAAAAGCTAAATCCTGTTATTGGAGATTCGTTTTGCTTCATCTTGAGATTTTGCAAGCACACATATTCCCAGATGGAATTGCTGGTGAGATTGCAGAAATAGAGGCCCTTCTAGAGGAAGCAGCAGAATTAGTTGATGAATCTCAGCCCAAAAACGCAAAATATTACAGGTAAGAAAACATTTGCTTTTAGATCGAGTGCGTATTTTCACTCATGCTGCACTTTTGATGTTTTCTTGCAGCACTTACAAAATCCGCTATACTCTGAAGAGGCAAGATGATGGATCGTGGAAATTCTGCCAAAGCGATATTCAAATACAGAAATGACGATCTCTCCCTTAAAGAAGCACATCAATTCGCTAAATGATAGATATTTTCATCTAACTAAAGTTGTAGCATCAACTATAGAACATCGGATCATTTAGCTTTAGTTCTGGTTTTAGCTAACGGTGTAGGAAAGTCTTAAGATTTTGTTTCTTTAATTCCTTGTAATTCGAAGGACTTGTCTCTGTAGATTCTTTTGATTTGATATGATTTGTTTGTGGATAGACACCCTTTTGAGTTTTCTAATGTAAAGCGTTACCGCTCCAAAACAACTGTTTTCATTCACTAAACTAAAATTATTCATAGCAAACTAATCGTTAATTAATTCAGAGCAAACTAATCGTAAATTTATTCATAACAAACAAATTGTAAATTAAAAGGTCTAGATACGAAGCTCATAACCATCACGATGCAGTGCTTAGTGCTTGCACATGCACTGCTAAATTGAAATTTCAATTTGTTTTATTAGACACGATGATTAAGTTTTTTAATACCAAAAAAAAAAACCGTAAAAACATAGCGGCGAGGGAAGAAACAAAAAGTTGATTAAGTTTGATTAGACACGATGATTAAGTTTGATTAGACATAATTTGTTGGACAGAAACTGCTATTTGACCCCATGATTTCTTATGTGATCAACTTTGGGTCAGTTAACTAGAATTTGAGAACCGGTTTTCGTATTACCGGTGACGGAACCACCGCCAAAGTTGGTACGTGATAATACATCCGTAACGGCTCCGGTTAAAAAATAGCAATCTATTACTAATCAAAAGATTAAGAAGAGAAAGCGAAAGAGATAGAGAGGGAAACTGATTATCTACACGGAAAAGCCAAAAACCGTGGACTCACTTTGCTTCTTATTCTCTCTCTCTCTCTCCGCAATCACCAACTTTCCGTCAACATCCCCCGATTCCCCGCGAACTCGAAAAAACCCTAAAATTCCAATCATCCCAAAATTACGGTCTTCGATACGGTTCTGTGATCGGCAGGGAACACGATGTTTCCTTGGAACTTTGCTAAATCAGCGGAGGCTGCTTTCTCAAGGTGGGCGGTGAAGAGAGTCGTCAAATTCTTGTTGAAGAAGAAATTGGGCAAACTCATACTTGGGGATATTGACCTTGATCAGCTCGATATTCAGCTCAGGGATGGCACAATTCAGCTCTGCGATCTTGCTATCAACGTTGACTATTTGAACGACAAGGTTTCTCTATCCCTTCTATTCTCAAAATGATGCTTTCCAATTATGAGAATTCTGGATTTTAGAGTAGCCAAACTGCCTTGGGACTAGAAGCTAACTATTATGCAAGTATTGAGGTTTTATGTTGAGGATGGTGTAAACTTTGTTTTAGAAATTCTCTTTAGTTTAAACCAGGGAGCTTTAGTTCATTCGTGGTGGACCATTACTTGATACAGAAAAAGGCCCTTCTCAGTCTTATATGGTAAACTGTGCTGTGTGACTGTTCTTTATCTGGAAGAGTACTGTTTTGAGTTCGTTGGAACGAACAAATGAAGATGCATTTTTTCATAGTAGTTCATGTTATGATTTACTAAATGTTTTGGTTCTCTATATTCCCAGATTTGAGAACTTTTATGGTTTACCAATTCTGAGAGTCTCATCCCCTTTCTTCTTTGATTCCAGTTTGATGCTCCGCTGCTCATAAAGGAAGGCTCAATTGGGTCTTTGTTAGTTAAAATGCCTTGGAAGACCAATGGTTGTCAAGTTGAGGTGGACGAGCTTGAGCTCGTTCTTGCACCACGTTTGGAGAGTAATGAATCATCTTCAAATGAAGCAACCACCTCCACCTCTTCCCGAGATGATTTACATAGTCTTCGCCTTGGACTAGGAAAGCATGAGAATGAGATGCTGGTTGATGCTGCTAATTCTGCGTCTATCGATGTCCATGAAGGGGTTAAGACGGTTGCGAAGATAGTGAAATGGTTTCTTACAAGTTTTCATGTCACAGTTAAGAATCTGATTGTAGCATTTGATCCTGATTTCGGCAAAGTACAGAATGAAGCTGGTCCACGACCAGCATTGGTACTTAGAATGACAGAGATAGAGTGTGGAATTTCAGAGGACCGAGTTACGGCTAATGAAGTTTCTCCTGATAGTTTCCTCGGTATTAATCGACTTGCAAACTGTGTGAAGTTTCAAGGAGCAGTTGTAGAGCTTTTAAATATAAATGATGATGATGATGGCGAAAAAACTTGTGGGAAAAAAACATCAAATGATGTGACTTTGATCATGACAGGCGAAGGAGGTGGCTTTTCAGGGAGTTTGAATTTAAGTATACCCTGGAAGAATGGTTCCTTAGACATTCGCAAGGTCGATGCTGATATTTGCATTGATCCTGTTGAATTACGGTTTCAACCTTCTACAATTAGATGGTTCTTACAATTTTGGAAAAATTTCGCTAGTTTCGGATCAGACTGTTTTCCCCCAGTTTCGCATTCTGATTTGTCGACGGATTCACCTGGAATACCTACTAATGTTATGGTAACGCCTCCAGCTACATTATCCTCGTCAGGGGGCCAAGAAGTGGAGCCTGATATTACACCTGGGTTACAGTTTATATCAGATTGGTTTCCTTCTTCTTTCAGTAAGAAAGAAGAGGATGGAGAAGTGGATATTGGTGCAAGGTATTAACGATGTCTCTAGTATTTCGTTATCACAAGTCTATTGTATCTTTTGCTTGACTTGTATTTTCATCTTTTGTCACAATCTGGATATGACTTTACCTTTTGTCTTTCTGACTGAATTCTCATATCCGTGTTATTTTTTCTTGTTTCCTACAGTGTGGACCAGTTTTTTGAATGTTTTGATGCAATGAGGAGTTACCAATCAGCTTTTGGAAGCCAAGGAGTGTGGAATTGGACATCTTCTGTCTTCACAGCAATCAATGCTGCATCTAGCCTTGCTTCTGGGTCTTTGCTTCTTCCTTCTGGTAATAATATTCTCTTGAATAATGTTTAAAATGTGTTATTACCAATCAAATGTTAGCTTTCTTATACGGGTGTTTTGGTAATCATGTTATGTAATCTAAGGTATTTTCTATGTATTATATTCTTATACTTTTAACCTATACACATCAAGCCTTTGTTTGTGCTTAAATCAATCCATTAGCTAATTATGCCAAGCAGTGTAATATTTGTAGCTTTTACTTACCTAGGCCTTTATCTTCTCCGATTCATCTGATTTGTCCTCAATTAATCATTTCTTCTTCATGTGCAACTATTCTCATCAATATGCAGAACAGCAACACGTTGAAACAAGTTGTAAAGTTTCCTTTGCTGGAGTTTCGGTGGTACTATTTTTCCAAGATAAAGACAAATGGAAAGATGTTTCCACGGGAATTCAATACTTGGGTGCAGAACTCAGAGATATTTCTGTCTCTTTTCAGGTAATTACTTTGATGACTTGTGTTTCCTCCCCTCACGAGTATCTGTGCCTAAGTTAATTAAAACATTCGTTAAGGTCAACAGGTATGCCCTCAGAATATGAGGTTAGAAGGAGAAGTGAACAGGATGGAGATCGCTGATTATTTTCAAGCTGCAAATGTTGTTGACACCGCGAATACTGAATATCAGACTAAATTGTTTAAAGATTTACAAGCCAAAGTTCAGACTACTCTTCCTCCCTTTGCCTCGTCTGATCTGAATGCTGCCTCTGAGAGATTAAGCGAGATAGTTTCTGATGGCTTCCTCTTTTGTAACAAGGGTTCTGCAGTCAAGACAATGTTGGTTACAGCTGCAGGGGGCAATGGATTTCAGTTTATTGTCAATTTCCAATCATCCAAAGCCAGCCCTAGAGGATCTAATTCGTTCTCGTTGAGTTTACCACCTACCACATTCTGGTTGAACCTTCATTCAGTAGAAATGTTGGTAAATCTTTTCAATGATGTGTCAGATTCTATCCCCATAACCAGTCATGAAAGGAATCGCGTGGCATCCAATTCTAAATCAGAAAGATTGCAAGGTAGTGTGTCAATCTGGAATGCTCGAGTGATTATGTGCTTCCCTTTTGAGAGCATTTCGACAAGGTTATGTAACTCGCTTTGTGAGCAATTTATTGTCGTCGACATATCTTCCTCATCCCCTTCTGACAATGAAAGGCGTAAGGAAGGAAGTCCAGGAGAAATGTACTTTACATCGGCTACTCGCTCCATATGCTTCAGCGTTGGTGATGTTGGCATCTATTTGGTCACTTCTGACCTTAAAGATTCTGAAGCAAATTCAAATCGTATGCAGGGTGAATTCTCTGCATATAATATAATACTTACCAACAACAGAACTAGTCACCAACTTTCAACCATTGGTATGTTTTGGCAAGATAAACCTATCGGTAGCCCTTGGTTAGTGGAGAGAGCTAAGATGTTGGCTACGCAGGAAGAATCTACTCAGACAGATAAATCTGGTGGGAATGGCCTTCAGTTTGCTGCTGTTGCTACTGCCAAAGATCAAGAAGACATCTACTCTCAAACCAGGAAAGAGATAATTTCGACTTCTTCATTCTGCCTTTATGTTCATTTGCTTCCACTTGCTATCCGTTTAGATAGTTGGGAATACAGCAAATTATGCACTCTTGTACACCAGGCAAAAAACTGGCTATCGTGTATGGCAGCCAATACAGCTGAGAAAACAGAAGAACCTGTTGTGTGTCAAACGTCTCTGGTTGTGGAATGTGATTCTGTTGACATTTTGGTTAGGCCAGAGCCGCAAATGGGCATAAAGAATCAGCTTCAGATTGAGCTTCCTGGATCATGGAATCAGCTAAACCTGAGGGTTCAGAAATTAAATCTTATGTCTGTCTCAAATCTTGGCAGTATCTCTGGTGCTGATTTCTTTTGGTTAGCCCATGGGGAAGGTACATTATGGGGTTCTGTTACAGGTCTACCTGATCAAGAGTTGCTATTGCTCTCATGTAGCAACTCTGCGATCAAGCGCGGTAATGGAGGAGGTTCAAATGCATTGTCGTCACGGTTGGCTGGCTTAGATATTCTGCACTTACAGGAACCTGAGATCTGTTACGATTTTCAAGCAGTATCTGTCAGGGGCTGTACGATTTCTGCTATAGGAGGACGCCTGGATTGGATAGATGTGGCTTCTTCTTTTTTCACTTTTCAAGTTGAAACAAATTCTCAAGAGAGAAACTCCAGCTCATCTAGTGGCTCCTCGTTTACTCTTAATCTGGTTGATGTTGGTCTAAGCTATGAGCCACACCATGAGAATACAGATCATTTACATCAATCAAGTGATCCGTGGG